ACCGTATATAGTAAAAAAGGGGCGTGCTTGGGCATTATAGCCTTGGTGCCACAGCAAGCTGTCACCGACGCGCCTGTCTCCACCCAGCCAAGCCAACATTCCGAAAGGCCAAATCCACACCTCACCGTGTGTTACGATGAAACGTGGCTTCACGTCAAGCATGGTCAACCAACTTCGGCGGCGTTTTCAAACCACATCAGAAACGTGTAGTGATGGTATTATTATGAAGAATCAGACTGTTCAAATTCATTTTGATGCCTCTATTGGCCGCGAGATCGAGCGGAGTCGCCGCCTGGCGGCAACTGGCTGAACCGTGAAAGTGAGGAGTCTGAGGACACGCCCGGGCTAGACTGCACCTTGCGCGCTCTTGTTTCCTTACGGTGTTCTCAACCGGGACCGCACTTAGGAGTATCGGGGAGCACATCGCAGTGATTACTCACGAGGCTGCTTGCTGACGAATTGGGACAACCTGAACGCACTTTAGGCTTTTCTATGTCCTCCAGAAGTTCGACCAATTGTGTGATGGTATCTACATTGCCGGGCGATTTGGCTAAGCGACGGTGACGGCCGCTAATGGGTACTGTTATGTCTCCTGCGACGACTACGCATTTCTCCACAAATAGCGTCCTTTTTCTTCTCTGAACACTAGAAAGACCACAAGACGTCCTGTCTCACCATTCTCAATAACTTTCCGCCAGCATGCAAGCAAACGTTTTCTATGTCTTGAAGCGAAATAACGCCCTAACAACCAGGCGCCGATTCGGGCGTTCTTGAATTTTGTTTTTAGAAGTTACTGTATACAGTCACAAGAACCCCATCACAGCATCATCGTCATCAGCCTGACTACGACCACTGCAGGACAAAGGCCTCATGTTCCGCGCCAGTCAACTCGGTCCTGCATGTGCTTGCTGCTGCCGCTGCATCCCCGCAAACTTCCTAATCTCACATGCCCACTTAACTATCTGCCTCCCGTTAACCCACTTGCCTTCTCTGGGAATTCAGTCTGTTATTCTTAATGAGCAGAGGTCATCCTGCCTACGCGCTACATGCCCGGCTTATGTCCATTTCTTCTTCGTGATTTCAAGTATGATATCCTTAACCCAGGTTTGTTCCCTGATCCACTCTGCCCTCTTCTTGTGTTTTAAGGTTACACCTATCATTTCCTACACCGCTCGCTGCGCCGTCCTCCATTTAAGCTGTACCCTAGCTCTTTGCAAGCCTCCAGGTTTCTGCTCCGAAGGGAAGTACCGGTAAGATGCTGCTGTTGTATACCTTCGTCTTGAGGGATAGTGGCAATCTACCAGTCATTATTTGAGAATGCTTGCTGAATGGGCTCCACCCAATTCTTATTCTTCTAGTTACTTCAATCATCGTGGTTCAACTCCGCGGTTACTACCTGTCCTAAGTGGACGTCCTCTTTCATAACTTCAAGTGCACTATTACCTATCTCGAAGCACTGTTCTCTACCGAGGTTGTTGCTTGCACATTAATTTAGTTTCCGCAGATTAGCAGATTACTTTTAAGCTTTACCTTCCTTCTCTCCTTGTCTAATTAGGTAATCATGAGTAGCAACTCGTACCCTGAGTTACTCAGCAATGCAATGTCATCCGCAAAGCGCAGGTTACCAAGGTACTCTCCGTTAACTCCTATTCCTAACCCTTCCCATTCTGTACTTCTGAAAACCTTCTGTAAGCATGCGGTTAATAGCATTAGGGAGATTGTATCCCCTTGTCTTACACCTCCCTTGATCGGTATTCTGTCACTATGGTGGCAGTTGACCTCTGTGGATTTCTTTCATGATGTTTATATATGCTTTGTCGACGCCCTGATTTCGCAGTATCTTCTGCATGACTGCTGATATTTCTACTGAACCAAATGCCTTCTCGTAATCTAGCAAGGCTAGCTATGTATAGTGTAGGCTGTATCTGAGCATTTCTCTATTACCGGTAATAGAGAAGTGCATCATTACAAGCCTTACCTAAATTCGCGTTTATACTCACGTCTACTCACAAGTATTCCGAAACAGTATCATTCATACGTCTTTCAATAATTGATCAGAGGAGTGAATTACGTAGTAAAAGGTCTTGACCCCCCCCCCCCCCTCGCTCCCCCATTGTGCTAGGAAAGTTCTTGATAAATATATCTATGTTTTGTGTAGCAATAAAAAGCGTACCGGGTGAAGCGTCTAACCTTGCAGCGCTTTCTCTGAAAATTGCATTTTTTTTTTCAACAGAGTTTTTCTGTCCACGTCATGTCTCCTTCCATCGGTGGGATGAATGCCCACAATACTGGTCGGTGCCGGTGCAATCATGAAAGTCCAAAACTGAAAGCACGTGTGGTTTTTGCAGGCGTCATAAAGTTTGATTGTTATTAAAACAAATACCTTAGTGGTCGTTTTAGGCACGCACACACTTTTTTTGTTGTTCTCGTGAGCGGCGGTGGACGCCGTGGTCGCGTTTCTCGGCCGTTTGCTGGCAAGCGAACACCCCGCCGGCAGCCTCACCTGCCGCCTATTTGAAAGCGTGAGGGAAAAAAAGCAAAATTTGGTCTGTGGTGCTAACTAAAGCTGCCTCAACTGCGTAGAATACTAATTCACGTGAAACGTCTTTGTTTTAAAGCAAATTAGTCTACCTGCGCAGATTTCTCGTACTAGCAATAGATTATCAAGACTGACCACATTCGCTGTTGGGTGACGCTAATGGGGACTTTTTATCGACTTTCAACATCAAGTTAAAAGTACGATTTTTTTTTCTGGTGTGAAAGCATGGTCATTGTCGCCGATGAGATGAACGATCTTTTAATTTGTGCCACAATCAGAAAAATTTTTCCGATCGGTAGACAGTCCCTTTAATGTTTGCAACCGCTCCTAATTCATATTACATCAAAGGTGGAGGACCGTTTACGTGTTAACGAGCATTTACACCATCGTCATACAAGTCGATTTAGGCTGACGTACTCATGAGTCGACTCACTCGGACTCTCTAAGACTAAGATCGAGCTGTTAATTTGAGTGAGTCCGGTTGAAAACGATTTCTGTGAGTACGAGTGAGCCCTGCTCAGCAGACTTTTGGCCAGTCTCCGAGTGACTCCAAAGCGCAAGATATTAGTCTGAGTGAGCTCCCGAATTTTCGCTTGCCTATGTCCGATACAATGATATCATGGGAAGGGGGCGCAAAGTCAGCCCTATACATTGACATTCTAGGGAGAGGGGTGCCGCGGCGAACCCCTGGAGGGGAACCCTGCGCACGTTCACACATATTCCAGTCTGTTCTACATAACGTCTTCCACATGACAAAGGTACTTCATAGACCACGCCAACATTACATTCTGCAAACGAATTACTGTGCTTTTTTTCCCGCACACTTGTACCCTGTGTTAGCGGCCGCTTATGCGCGCACAACCCCGCAGGCTTCTTAGGAGCCAAAAACATGACGTCAACTCGCTTCCCAACCAGGTGGTGCGAAGGTTTGTGCACATAGGGAACAACTGCACATTTGTTATCGGCGTTCGTCTTTTGAGAAAAAAATATTTGACTTCAACAGTTGGCCTTGAGCTTGTGATGATGCCTTTCTGTAACGTCGGCTGGGACAGCCACAGCTGGTCCAGTGGGCTCGCAGCGTCGCACAAAGCAATTAAGCCCTGTACTGGGGGCCTCACCTAAGGAAGGCTCTCTGTTCATTCGCTAATGAATGTCTCTCTCTCTCTCTCTCTCTGAAACGTGCATGCTCGGTGGTAGTTTCTGCGGAATGTACAGGGGGATCATAAGTTCCCAGGCCACTGTCCAATGTATTTCTGTGGAAGTGTGCCTGGGAACTTTTGACCAGGACTGCACTTATAAGTGTACTATGTGAAATCAAAGTTAGTTGCAAGTCTGCACCTGTATGTGTGTTTGGTTTTTACTTCTGTGTCAGGTAGAGCAGTTATCCATAACTCGCCCACCAAAGTTCTAAACTGCAGTAAGCATACGCAGGCAATCCGGGACACTGTTATAAGAAGTGTGCAAGTTCAGACGGCGCAGTCAGTCATTTTCACCAAACTAATACATCCGGATGTGTGAGGTGTTAAAATCTTGCGAATAACATTAGCTTTGATGTCGTTACGTGACTACTTTAAAGGGGTCGTGAAACGGTCGCTTTACAACGACAATATGGCACCATCGGCAGCCACATGCGCTAACTGTATCATCAGCCCGAGTGGACCTACATAGAAGCTTTGCCTATCGAGGAACGCGGAACTCTATGGCATATCGAGTACGCGCAAGAGGCACTCATCGGCGTCTGCCATACGCGATCCGCGTCCCACAAGGACGCTGCCTAATATGACGTCAGAGTTCAAGTTAGCGCTGATTGCGTATGACAAAGACGCTGACGAGTGTCCCAGTTGCACGAACGCAAGTACCGAAAAGTTCCGCGTTCCTTGATAGGCAAAGCATTACTTATAATGACGTCAAAAAGTTAGTGCGTGTGGACGCCGGTGGCTTCGCATTGTCACTTTAGAGCGAGCGTTTCACGACCCTTAAGCAAGACCGGCCGGAAGTTTCGCACAACACGCTTAAATTCCGCGCTATAAATACGTGTTGATGACGACTTTCATTGGTTGTGGCTGCTTCTTGTGTCATTGCAAGAACGACCATATTTAAATATCTGAGCGTGCAAACATAAAGAGAGCAGCATTTGTGGTCTTGTGAGCTCTTTTTTTTTAAATAAACACTTACCAATTAGCTCAGCCATTTGTTTTTTTAGGACTGTTTCTGCCACGGAGGAAGGAAAGGTTTCTGCTGTTACTGTGAGTACTCTGTAGCGGCGCTCTTGCAGCCGAACATTCTAGATGCTCTTTTGGAATTGTAACACAGTCTGATTAGCTTTCCCTTTATAGATTCTGCGCTAACTTTATGATAAGATAAACTCTTGGTCTGAATTTCAGATAAGTCGTGTTTTAAACCACGCTGTAGACCGACGGAAGCTTCAAATAAAAACTGAACGAAATCAATCCTATCCACTATCCAGCCTCGTCGTTAGTTTCGGTAGTTGCGGCATGAGTTTCGGCGTAATGCTGGCTAGTTGACCGCTTCTGCTGCTGTGTCAGCGGCGTTGAAATTCCGAAGTACTTGCCGCCGTCCCCTTTTGCAGAGCTCGTCCAACGTACGATTTTGTGTCCGTGTTGTGTGCTCTTCGCTGGGATCCTTTATGATTTGCCGGCACAGCTGTTGCGATACTGGGCACTCACTGCTGCTCATGCACAGGCCAGCGCTTTCTTTTCAGGTGAAATCTCCTGGAATGATACCGCTGCCATGTACTAACTTGACATTGATTTAAAAACCTCGATGGGAAAACGTTGTGATTTGGTTGTGGACGTTGTATCGCCGCTACCGTCAGGACGCTGAAGTTGAATTTGCCTTTTCTACCCACGTCATCATGGTGGCAAAAAATCAAGGTGAATTCCCTTTCTCGTGTGACATTCACAGTGAAAGCCCGTCTGCTGACGCTTGATTATCTTTTGTCTTTAGATTCTGTGGAGTGGTTGCTGCTCTTGGCCTGCGCCGTGCATCTCGTCGTTTGTCCTTTCACAAAAGTCGAGGAGAGCTTCAACCTGCAAGCTATACACGACATAATTTACCACAGAACGAATATCTCAAATGTAAGTAAATAGGACGACACGTTGCATCATTACGCGTGGTTAAGCACCCCGATTTTTTTTTTCGAGCATTTGAAACGTGAAAGGTAATCTACGACTAACCTTCAAGAGGAAAGTATATAGCAGCTGCATCTTGCCGGTACTTACATAGGGAGCACACACCTGGAGGCTTACAAAGAAGTTTAAGCTTAAATTGAGGGCGACGCAGCGAGCGATGGAAAGTAAAATGATAGGTGTGACCTTAAGAGACAAGAAGAGAACAGAGTGGGTCAGGAAACAAACCGGGGTGGATGATATCATAGTTGAAGTCAAGAAGAAATAAACTTGGGTCGGGTACGTAGCGCTTTGGCTGGATAACTGCTGGCCATTAAGGGTAACTGACTGGATTCCCAGAAAAGGCTACCGCACGAGGGGGAGACAGAAGGTTAGGTGGGCAGATGAGATTAGAAAGTTTGCGGGTGTAACGTGGCTGCAGCAAGCACAGGGCCGAGCTCATTGGCGAGACATGGGAAAGGCCTTTGCCCTGCAGTGGATGTAGTAAGGCTGATAATGATTATGATGGCTGCAAACCTTAACGCAGCTATTTTCACGCAGTACGACCACCTGGAATTTCCCGGTGTTGTTCCAAGATCGTTTATGGGACCCCTGATGGTTGCCCTGTTTGCCGGTCCATGGGTTGCTGTGAGCACTTTTATGGGCTTGGAAAAAATAGTTGCGCAGTTCATTGGTAAGTAAGGCCTCCTTGACTGACCGGTCAGATGTGATCCTCGTTTTGCATCTTTGTTGCAGTCAGGGCTGTCCTAGGGACAATGGTGGCATGTGCATACCGTGAGTTCAGCAGAGCTCTCCAGAAAGAATTTGGCTTTGCGATGACCAACTGGCTCACCCTGCTGACGGTTTCGCAGTTCCACTTCGTCTTCTACATGTCACGTCCGCTTCCCAACACCTTTGCTTTGATTTTCGGTAAGATGAATACATTTCCATTAGGTTTCTTTGTAGTGCATATACATGCGCACATAGACACTCTAGGAGCTAACTTCCAACATGGTTAATTCTCAGAAACCAGGATGCACTTGCCTGACAAGCCATGTGATCTTCTTGAACAAACCTTAAAATCTTAAGGCATGCGCAGATACGCTCATTCTTTTTGTGACAGTGTCTACAATGGCTGGCTGACACACAAATCTCCGAGTGCAGCAATCTGCTTGGTTTCTATTGTAAGTCAGGTTGTTTCAAGTTTGCTTCTAGCTGTTATTTTGATGTCTTCAAATAGGGAAGAACGTTGATGCAGATATTAACGTCCTGTGAGAAAGCATTCATTCATTCACAAAATCTAATTTGTGTCCTGAAGCCCGGTCTTTTCAGACCCAGGCGGGCCGCGTCCGCGTCGGTACCGTCAGGCCGAGCCTTGTGGCATCGTCGTGGACCTTCTGGACTGCCCGTAGTTGGTCTTGATAAGACTCGCTTCGCACCATCGTCTGCCAATAAAGCCATTGTTATTCGGGGTCGGCAAGAGTCGCGAGACAGCCCGCCAGCATGTGTCTGATGCCAATGATGCCATCGCACACGTCACGCTTGTCTTGAATTTCACTGTCAGGGAGAACTTTATGTAGAAAATAATACGTTGGGTAAGTTTCGGTTTGCAGTAAACGTAGCGTGACTGCTTGAGCCCTGTTCAATTTCGCCTGTGGCAGTGGGAATTGCCTACGCCCCAAGTAATAATATTGTCACGGATGATGTCGTTGTGATGTTGTGAATTTTGTGATGTCGTTGTAAGTGATTAAATTATCTTTATAGCCTCCGGAATGGTAGTGGGCGTCGGATCGGGTCATAAAGAATCACAAGTTGTGGTCTACTCATGCTGCATTGTAATCTGTGTCAATGTTCCCCTCTCTTTTAAGACACTAAAGTAACAGCTAGAAGCAAATTTCAAACAACACGGTTTATAACAGAAACGGAACAAATTACTGCACTCCGAGATGTGCGTGTCAGCAAGCCGTCGTTGACACTGTTACAAAAAAGAAGGTTCAGTTAGTTCACCGTGTTCACTTGGCTGTGACTTGTCAGGCAAGTGCATCCTGGTTTCTGAGACTAAACCATGTGTGGGGCTCCATTTTTTAGCTGTCATGTACATGTGCTACCTACTGTACTACCACGCATCACATCCTACAGCCAGACGCTCTTTCCAGTGTTTCTCGCATATAGCTCCTGGCTAGAACAACGCCATTTTCTGCTGATGGTCACAAGTGGAGTGGCAGTCCTAGTTTTTCGAGCTGAGCTAGCGTCTCTTCTTGGCATCATCATTCTCATGGAGATATTCCTTGGTCGTCTGAGCATCTTCAACGTTTTCAAGTGGGGAATCCCAATCGCCCTAGCGTTGCTCGGTAAGCACGGACAACGGCTCGTTCATATCTGGAAGTCTATCTTATTGAGGGTTTGAATGCCATTCGGTAAAGTTGTATTCTCAATTTATGCTTCGAAAATAGTCAGCATGAGCACTCTTGCTATAAAAAGACTGCGTTTTTCTTTTTAATTATGACGATGAGACACCTGTTGACTGGCAGCAGAGAGTTTGGGATTTTACCAGTAGCTTCTGCAAGCATGGTCACTTTTGTATAGCACGTTGACTAGAATATAGCACGTTGACATGCCTCATAACACAAGAAATTGAATAAAAAATGAAAGAAAAATAACCAGGACAAGCTAGTCGGACTGCCAGGCCTCACGTGTGGCAAGCTAAACAAAGATTTCAATGAGCTGAGGTGAAGTGCACAAACTGTGAGTGAATGATGAAAACTTATTAAAGTAATCTCAAAGTAATTTCATTACTTTTCAGAAAAATTTAGAGTAAACTCTCGGTAAATGAAAATCTTTTAAACAGAACGGCTGCCTCTGACATGATTGGTTTCACACTTGGGTTCAGGACTGCTGTTCAGTCAATGAAACTCTTGTTAAAAAGAACAGATTTTCCTGGCCCCTTCAGGTTCCATTCAAGGAGAGTCCACTGTACAATGTGATGTGATTACTTTTTACTATTTGCAATTTGCATGTAACTTAGTTATATTTTATGAAATTCTAAAAAGTAATTAATATAATTTTAATGAACTTTTGGGATCAATTTTGCTATTACTGACATAAATAGAACAATTATGCTTTGAGCAATTCATTAAGTCCCAATGAGTAACGGAAATTCCTTCATCTACGCAAAGAGCTTTTTTACACTAAGTTTAATATAGACAGTTGGAAAAACATTTGCTCAGGCTTTCAAGAAGCTTTATCGATGACATTTAACATCACAGTGCTTCACATGTGGCTGCAAGGTAAATTTTAGTTCTATGCCTGTTCATTTAGAAAAAAAAAAAGAAAAGAAAAAAAGCTCATGTCCCATGTGAAGCTTGTCATATAAACAATGCAGTTTAGTGTCTAAGCAAGGTATCCACACAGCAGAAAAAAACAATATACAAATACAGTGGCCATAAGTCGGCAAGGAAAAATGGAACTCGCTCAAGAAACATATCTTCTGCTTCGGGCTCGCGAAATTTTCCTGAGCCGGACTCAACCAGAGTCGGAAAATTTCCCTCCAACCAGACTCGCGGCTCGATCTGAGTTTTTTTTTTATTATTTATTTATTTTATTTGTGAAATACTGCAGGCCAAAAAGGCCCAAGCAGGAGGGGCACAAACACAAACACAATATCAGTACATGAGTGACACAGCTTCACTAAAATACATCTGTGTAAGAGGAGAGCGAGTAGAAGATAAACATCAAAACAAAGAAAGCACGTGATCAGTACATGAGTAACACAGCTTGACTAAAATACATCTGTGTAGGAGAAGAGCGAGTAGAAGAGAAACATCAAAAAAAAAAAATCAAGCAATATTGGGAGGGGGGGGGGTCAAGATTCACAGAATTAAACATTGGGTTCATCAAGATCGAAGGTTTGGAGGAAATCAGAAGGCAAGTTATTCCATTCTGTTACAGTTCTCGGAAAAAAGGAAAACTTGAATAAATCTGTCCGCGCAAAATACGGAGTTAAGGATCGAGTTTGGGTGTGTTTGCTGACCTATGACTCATTGGCATAGCCAGGGTTCCAAGCGTACCCAAAACTTTTGCATTTGGTATGTGTATATACACAGGCATACATCAATCAACCAATTTCATTTGGCACTCATTACAGCAAGATAATGAATACAAGGACCATAAACAGAAACTGCTATCTAGCAGCTTGACAAAGGTCCTTGCCTCGATTCTTGACGGCCTCTGCTGTCTCGATCTTTTCTAAACGCCCTGTAACCAAAGGGAACAAACTCAGTGTCATGTATTGAGTCGTTTAGCCACGTTTCTGTCAGAACTGCAACAGCAGGATTATGTGAGAGGATGAGAGCCTCCAATTGAGCGACCTTGTTAAGTACGCTCCTACAATTTACATTGATTATCTTTAGAGATCGAGCTTTAGGATACTGATGGCAGCCAGTCTTTGCTTTTGATATCTGAAAGCTTATATTTCTCTCCTCATCCCAGCCAAACAAAGTATTATTTATGCTCACTTTATCATAAATTAGTTTTACTTTCGCACCATTTGCCTTCTCTCCTGCCGTGTTCTTCCATAATTTCTGCCTTACGCCACGAAGTCGTTTGGAAAAGTCTTCAAATAAAGATATATCCGTGCCTTTTAGCTTATGAGCTGATTTTAATATAGACACTTTTTCACGATAGTCGAGGATTTTATTACTACAGGGAGTGACTTATTTTGCTGTTTTTTATTAAATGTGACACCTTTCTATGCCGTCTACTTCCCTGCCAAAACGCTTGACAAAAATATCTTCTTGTACCCTTTTATGTAGCTTATCGTTTGACTCCTCTGTAGGCTCATCCAGACCATATATAACTAAATTGTTTTTACGACCTCGGTTTTCTAAGTCATCTATATGGTCTTGAAGTGCCAATACCTGTGATTCAAGTTCAGAAACTGATGATTCTATATTTACAACCTTCAAGGCTGCAGCATTCAGTTTTTGTAGTTGTTCATCAATGTCATCAATACGTTCAGTTATTCTAGTAAGCTTCTTTTCTGTCACTTTCTGTGCACTCTGTATGCCCTCAACTGCCAAACTGATAGTTTTTTATACCTTTCAATATTTCAGATAACATTTCCCTATCAGAGGGCCTGCTTGGCTTCAATATCACCACAACATAGCAGGTCATTGTCAGAAGGCAAAACACAATTTGAAAACCATTTTATACACAGTGGCCAAGGCAACAGCACTAGAAACCGGTTATCGCTTTGGGAACAACTCCCAGACAAATAGTCACTAACCTGGATAACGAAGCAAAGCGGATTTCTAAGCATGTTTTCGCCAGTTCTATCACCGTGCCCACGGTCGCAGAGTTGAGTTGACCGGCTTCTTATAGACGGGGAATAGACCACGTGGCTTGCCGCAATCGTCGATGGTATCAGAATGGGCGTCATCACGCAGAGTTCACCGAGCCAAGCGCAGTCTTCTGTCTGCATCGATGCGGCTGGGTCAAGCCCAGGAATGCCGTCCATAAGTACCGCCGTCAGGGAAGCATCATGCATAGTTGGCAGCATTCCGATGAAAACCTGGATAATGAAGCAAAGCGGATTTCTAAGCATCTTACCACGAGTGCTATTGCCAAGCCCACTCTAGCCCACATAGTTATACATGCCACGCCAATAAAACCTGAGTTGAAACCTAGCATATATTGAAACCTAGCATATGTCTTGAAAAGGCCTGCATGTGTGCGCTGTGGGTCAATGTGGAAAGCTTCACACATAACAGCTCGGAGATGGCGGTGTATCACAAGGAGCCACTTGCGACCGTCGGAAAAGTAGTTGCGTCAATAAAGAAGGTCGTCCCATAGGCAAAAGTTTCTAGCCTGGTGGTGGAGAGCACGAGACGAGGAAGAAGTGAGAGGATCAGAAAGAATGCCGATGGGACCACTGATCCAAAGATCTTTCCGTTGTTCTATCGTCGTGTTGCATAATGCGGGTGACACAAGCGTAGGCTCAAGGGAGGAGAGGCAAACGTCATCATCTGATATGGGTGAGCGACGAAGGGCATCGGCGTCTGTGTGCTTACGACTGGATCTGTAAATAATGCCGATGCCATACTCTCGAAGTTTGAGCGCGCAGTGAGCAGGTCGTCCGGAAGGGTCCTTAAGCGTGGATAGCCAACAAAGGGCATAGTGGTCAGTGACAACGTCGAATGCTTGACAATACAGGCAAGGGCGAAATTGCCGAAAGGCCCAAATGGTGGCTAAACACTCTTTCTTGATCATGGAGTAGTTAGTCTCGGCTTTCGTCAGAGTTCGTCTTGCGTAGGCGACAACATATTCATCAAACAGTGCCTTTGGTTGCACGAGCACAGCGCCAAGTTTGACACCACTGGCATCAGCATGAACCTCCATGGTAGTGGCAGGATTGAAGTGGCGGAGGATGGGCGATGAAGTTAGCAGGCGACTTAATTTGGTGAAGGCGTCGTCGCCGATTGGGGACCATGTAGAAAGGCCCTTGTAGCCGCTAAGCAGATCCGTCAGGAACGCACATATGGAAGCAAAATTTCAAATAAAACGTCAGAAGTATGACGACAAGCCGACAAAAAGTTCCTTTAGGTTCTTTGGCTTTGGAAAATTGGAAACTGCTCGAAGCTTGGTGGGTTCTGAAAGTATGGCGTCCCGCGATACGGCGTGGCCAAGAATGGTGAGCTGCCGGCACCAAAATGACGCATCTTGTGGTCAAGTTCAAGGCTGGCGTCTTTGAAGCATGTGAGGAGGCGCTCGAGATGATTTAAATGGGCGTCGAAATCAGCCGAAAAGACAACTACATCATAGAGGTAACATAAATATGTGTTCCACTTGAGGCCACGTAAAATAGTGTCCATCATTCTCTTAAAAGGGGCTGGAGCATCACAAAGGCCGAAAGTCACAATGGTAAATTCGTATAATTTATCGGGTGTGACAAATTCTGTTCTCGATTGGTCAGATGCTTCCGTAGAAGTTTGCCAATATTCAAAATGTAAATCTAGTGAAGAGAACTATTCCACTGCCTGCAAACAGCCAAGGGCGTCATCATTTCGCGGTAACAGGTAAACGTCCTTACTGGTGATCTTGCTTAAGTGTTGGTGGTCCACACAGAACGGAATCCAGCCATCCTTCTTAACAAGAATGACCGGTGACGCCCAGGGACTGTTGGAAGGCTGTACAATACCCTACTGGAGCATGTCAGCAGCCTGGTGATCAATAACATAGCGCTCCAACGCTGAGACTAGGTAGGGACGCTGTCGTAAAAGCGCATGGCATCCTTTGTCAATCTCGTGAGATATGGTCAATGTGTGACTGAGGCAAAAAGTGTGGCTGCCTAAAGAAGTGCAAAGCTTTTGCAGCATGTTGACCGACTGCCTTCATTCTGAAGAAGAGGTTGCGACATCATGGAGCAGTGGAAAGCGTCAAGGAGTGACTGGTCAGCAGCAGAGTCGGAAGTGAGTCCGCAGAGTCCCGTAGAAAATGAACTAGATGGATCGTCAGAAGTGTGACAGGCATTTATCGGATGCACGTTACTGAGACATTTACCATAGAATAAAGGTAAAGGTCATTCTAGCGTGTTGTAAACGAACGTCTTCGGGACATCGTGATGCAGAGTAGAGAGAGCAGCAGGCAGTGGAGAACATTTGGATTGAATGAACAGATCAGAGGGCGTAAAGAGAACATCACCATCGGAAATAGTGGCACACGGCACATTGACCAGCAGAGAAGAGAACGGTGGTTTGGTGGCGTCCTCGGATACAAACATTTTTTAATACAAGAGGGAGGCTTCGACAGCGTCAAGGTTGGGAAGTGCAGAAAAGTTCAAGTTCGGCGTGACAGCGCTCAATGACGGCATTATTATTCGCAAGGACGTCCTAGCCAAGCAATATGTCATGGGAACATGAGGGCACACGACGAATTCGACTATATACATGCGACGCTAATGTGAGACACAGGCCTGGCTTATATGCCATGTTTATTTCATTGTAACTTCTTCATCCTCTGTCTCTACCATCAGGTACTGCCTTCCTACGTCACATACACGAGCCTTTAGATGACAACTCATGTGGTACAGGCTGCGAAAGGAGTTAAGCTTTGTGCGATTGCAGAGTTTGCGGTGCAGATGGGCGGAAAGGACGGATACAGCGGTTTCGGTGTTGACAAGTGCCATGACGACAATACCATCAACTGATGCTTCAATGACATTGCCTTGACAGGGGCGAGCACTTGTGCATGGCGGCAGGGACGCAGTTCGTGCCTCGGGAACTGCGGCCGTTAGTTTTCCTGCTTGGTGGGTCCGGAACGGCGATGCATAGGGAAATGCGAACGACGACGTGGAGATGGGGAGCGGCGGTTTAGGCCAAACGGGCGATCAGGGGATAGGAAGAAGAAAGATGGCTGCAAGACGCAGAGGAAAACGGAGGGTCGAAAGATGGCATTCGTCGAATGTTCGAAGAAGCCTGGCGACGACGGCAATAATGTCCCACGTGGTCAACACTGCCACTAGCAAAACATATCGGACAGTTGTCGTAGGTCCGCCATTGGTCGGAGTAGTAGCCGAGTTGTGGCAAGGGGGCAGAAAAATGTGGTCGGGGTGCCACCAGCATAGGCGGCAGTAAATAGGTCAGCGGCGAAAAGGGCGGTGGCGAATACATAGTTGCTGGCTGGAACGCAGACTGTCAAGGTCTAGCAACTGCCTAGGCATACGTGAGAAGTGCGGCGACTGGTGGCGGTTCACGGGCGAGAGGAAGAGCTGGTACGACCTGGTCTTGGATGACGTCGTGGAGCAAAGGTTCCAAACTGCGTGGTTGATCGAGTACACAGGACATTAAAGAGAGTTGACGAGCGACCTCGGCTCTGATGATCTCTTGGATCTTTTAGAGAAAAGGAGCATGGTCGTCTCCTATGCCAAGGCTGGACAGGCTCGACAAAGAGTCGTTGGGCGCCAAGGCACGTCGGGTGTAAAGACGTTGCCTGCGCAACTCGTTGAAACACTGGCATAGCTCGGTCAGTTCGACGACAGTGGGAGGACTGTTGGAGAGCAACATTTGGAAAGCCTCGTCCTCAATGCCCTTCATGATGTGTTTTATATTATCCTCTTCGGACATCGACCCGTTTACCCGCTTGCAAAGGTCCACAATGTCCTCAATATAACTTCTGAAATTCTCACCAAGCTGTTGGGGCTGAGTACGCAAGCGTTCTTCGGCACAGCGTATGCGTACCTTGGGCCATCTGAAAACTTGTGTGAGGCTTGTTTTGAAGACAGACCGCTTAGGGAGTTCAGCTTCGTGATTGATGAACTACAGCTTTCCCATGTTCGAAAGGTAGAAGGAGACATAGCCCAACTTGGTGGCATCGTCCCATTTGTTATGAACACTCACTGGCTACATGGAAATTCAGTCGTCAACGTTCTTGTCATCGGTGCCTGAGAAAACAGGGGGATCTCGCAGACGCAAGGAACCGGTGAAGAGCACAGTGTCGTTGGAGGAGTTGAAGCGGCGCTTGTGTAGGTGGACATAATGGACGGTACAATGTGATTCCAAAGTTCCCAGGTGATCGAAACCCAGCACCATCACCACTTGTTAAGAGGTTTATTGGCAGAGCAGAATGCAGAAGGCGAAGCAGTCAGCAGCGTCTGGCCAAGCGCAGCAACTAGGAGCTCATGCCGATGGTGATGCGCTTGAGGCACAGAGCAATGCCACTGAGGCCACTCTTCGTCAGACACGTTTGTGTGTTTCACAGGAAACACGCAAACGTATCTGTGTGTTACAGGAAACACACAAACGTATCCGTGTGTTTTCTTTGAACCTGTGGGAAGTTCGAAGGAAACACACAGATACGTTTGTGCAGCAAAATTCTATGTTTTGTTGAAAAGAGCTAGGTGCAAAAGAAGTCTGGAGTATCTACAATATGTGCTTTGACTTATGCTTTTGAAGTGGTCTGAATTAGAGAAATCTAAACAAATATTACAACCCATAGCAGTTAAAATAGGTTGAGGTGATTGCCATTGAAAAGTGATGTGGCAGAAAACATTTACATTGCTTGTGAACTGCATAAACCCACATAAAGGAAAAATGTGTGCTTATTCATGCTTTGTTGCTCTTGTAAACTACAGCTTTTTTTTTTTTTTTTTTTTTTGCTGCAGGAACAACCATTGCTGTTGACTCCTTTTTCTGGCAACGCTGGCTGTGGCCAGAAGGGGAAGTGCTCTGGTTCAATGTGGTGCTGAACAAAAGCTCCGAATGGGGTGTATCCTTCTGGCCTATGTCTCGGCTTAGTGACATTTAAAGGCTGTTGCACCGGCAGAGCCGCAAGTTTTATTTGTTCATTTTTTACACAACCATTCATACTCTTCGTGTTTCTCGATATCTAATCAGAATGTTTCAAACTACCAATATAATATCTTTGTACATTATGATTCTCGCAGCTTTCAGTTCATATATAAATAAACTCAGAAGCAATCACTTGACATCTTTTTCTTCGATATGAACTCTGAGTGATGCCTATGGAATTTTAAGTGTATATCTTTCCATCAGATATGAAAATTGACATAAGCTTCAATTAAACCATTGTATCGTAGGGGGCCTGTTACCTTTGTCAGTGAGTCTAACTGGGCCAGGGGTTAGGAATCTGCGGCCCTCGGCAGGACTTGAAAACTTGCTTTACTGCTTTGCCTTGTCACTTCCCATCTGAAGGCTGACAGGGCAGTTTTGACCGGAGATGTAGTCAGGTAGGAACAAAGGACGGTGGCTTTTAGTTGTCATAACAACCTCGTAACAAGTGCGCATAACTTCAATTCAACCTCTTCACATAATTGTCAATCGACTGAATTTTTTTCTCAGCCTTGCTAGGTGTTTATGAGTGTGACACGTTTGAGGTGCCCTTGACAGCCACGGCAGACTTTGCCGTGGTCGTGGTACCTGTATTCAGCCATTCCACGAGCGCTTGGCAGCTCTCTGCTCTTGATCCCCATCGGTGTGTGGGTGGACCGGCGCGTGAAGATGCTGCTGCTGCCTGCAGTGGCGTACGTGCTGCTGTACTCGCTGCTGCCCCACAAGGAGCTGCGTTTCATCATCTACACCCTGCCCCTCCTCAATGTGGCTGCTGCTAGGGCATGCTTACACTTGTGAGAATCATGGGCTCAGCTTTAATGACAGTGCGCATGCCATTTTATATGTGGTTAACTTTTTACTGGCTTTATTCCGAGCTAAAAAAAGAGTAAATAAACTGGGACAAGTTCATTCGCTGCTTAGGAGCCCACTTTACATTTACAGTTAGTGTTTTGCTTTAAGATGAGTACTTAAAACTACACAACTAAGCTTTGTTAATTGGCATATTTAGTGCATCTTATAAAATAGTCCAACTCATGTCAACTACAAAAAGGGCATGTGATTAGATGGATTTGTCTAAGGTGTTCTGTCTTTTTTGTTAAAGAGGCTTGGTTCGCGTTGTGTATACCTAAGAGAATTAAGGAGGTACATTTGCTGTATTCTTCATAATTTAGGTCACAGCAAGTTGCTTTCTGTGGGTTTCAAACTGCCATGGTGATTTCAGTAAAACTTGTTGCTGAACAAGTAGGTTCATACGAAAATGTAAACTGGTGTGCGCAAACCAAGACAGGGCCACAGAAAGAACGAATAGGGACAAGTACAAGCTTGCAACTGTCATTTATTTGTCATCACCCTTCAAATATATACTAAAGAAAGGGAGGGGGACCACGTGGTCACGACCACACGCTTCACCAGAAGGCATGCAAAAATTTACGCTCGCTATCAAATAAAGATACGTGTCACTAACTTAAACATTGCTTCTTGCAGATATGTAAAAGGCCTCCATCAGTTCACGGGCTGTGGTGTCAATGCTCTTACCCAGTATCTTAATCTTTCTGGAAATTGGTGAGCAAATGCATGCTTGGCAATGCGTAGGCAAATGCGCATTGCCAAGCTTGGAGGTTCTTCTGCGTGATGCTAAAGCAGCCCGGTCTAGGGTTAACCCTGCCCCACATTGCAGGAGGTGTCCAGAGGTGATGCCTCGTATCCATTGCATATCCCACAACCTGAAAAAGATGCAGAGTAGGCACGATGTGCAGATGGTCTTTTCCAAGCTAGCTGAGCTTTGTCCCAGAATCTCCTTTGGCGAGAAGAAACCTGGCAGTTGCAGAAAAAAATCACACTTTGGCATATGCAAAATCTACGACTGGCGTCATCTATGAAATACTGCTGTCTTGTAAGAAAGCTTACGCAGCCCTAACAAGTCCCTATACGAATGATCGTGCAAGAGAACATGAGCTTTCAATTAGAAAAAACCGGAACGTGCATTTGCCTGCACATTGCCTAGCACACCAATTTTCAAAAATGTCAAGATATTAAGTAAGAGCATTGACACTACAGCCCGTGAACTGATGGAGGTCTTTTACATATCTTCAAGAGGCAATGCTTGTGTTAGCAACATGTCCGTATATTTATTCGACATCTTCGGCTGCCAGCACCAGTGGGGTTTTTTGTGCCTTCGTGTGGTGCCACATGTCCGGCTCGGTCGGCCGCGACACGAGTGCACGCCGCCATGGCACTGTAGAGGTCAATGGTAGAGCGTGGTGCAATCCCATCAGCTTGCGCTGGCTGGCAGACGACGCGGTGACGTTCCAACATTTCAGGCAGAATTTAACAGCTGGTGCTACCACAGAACTTAGCCGGATGGGATGGAAACAATATAGTGAGCTTACATACCGTATTAGCACAAGGCTACTTTGGTGCCAGGATTTCACTGGAAACCAATGGCAATGTGAAAATTGCCGTAACCCTCATCAGGTTGGTAAAAAACCGATGCAGAACAACTGCCTGGAGTACAGAAACGCACCCATTGGACACGTAGCATCTCACAAGTATCCCTCATTGTATAGTTTTTCGTTGTTTGCTCTTTTATTTCCGCTACAAACAGGACACAGGAAATTGCGGTCTGCTGAATGGCGTCTCTCGCAGACGGCGCTGCTGTTATGGATTTTAGTCTTGTGGTTCACACGTTCATCTGGCCCGTAGTGGGGCGTGAAACTCAAGCGGTGTTTGACGTAACTTTCCATCCAGGGTCACGGTGCCAGTGCACCTACGCCAAAGATGTCATTTGATAGCAAGCGTAAATTTTTCCATGCCATCCTGTAATCTGCTCTTTTTTGTTGGTTTGTTTCCACATGTCTGTTATGAGTATGTTTTTGAAGGGCGACAACAAATAAAAGTCAGTTGAAAGTTTGCGCCTGTTCCTATTTTTATTTGCACACAACACTTTACCTTGACAGTATTCTGGTGGCTACAGTGCTCAACTGTTGATCCGAAGGTCACAGGATCAAATCCTAATGGCCGCCGCTGCCACTGCATTCCGATTCAGGCAGAATGCTAGAGGCCCGTGCACTTAGGCTTAGGCGCGCATGCCTTAGTAGTGTCGGAATTTCCCGAACCCTCTGCTCTCATAATATACAGTAGGCTCTCATGAAATGGAACCTGAAATGTGTTCCATTTAAAGGGCCAGTCAATAGGCTTGGACTTTTTTTTTTTTACACCCCCCAAACAAGCTCGGTAATTCGTAGAGTAGACCGCATCGGTTACGTTTTCTGAATATTACAGAGCTGCGCCCTGCGCACAGCCTCCATTTCGAAAAACGATTCTCGTGCTTCTTGCCTACGCCTGACCAATCTCCTTGCACTTGCAGTGATGGCAACTCGGCAACGTGACGCAGTACGCAGCTTGTCGATTGGTACAAACCAGGTCTCAACAAACAGCAGTGAAGTCTACTACATTTGCTGTTCTCACCCATAGCTACGACAGAGCTATTCAATTGTACGAGTTGCGAAACTCCCTATGGGCTCCATGCATCGAAATCGGGACACTTCACTGACCCAGTTTTTGGGAGTGAGCAGATTGTCTTGCCACCTGTCGATAGGTGCACTCACTATTAAGCGGAATATGTTGCTGCTCCCAGATGGCATGGCAGTCTGCCCCTAAAAATTGAACTCCAGAAAAATCGGGCCAACTTGATATCTGGGTTTTGGAATGCAGTTTTGTTGCAAATTCTCGTCGGCTGCAAATCGAGCGACTGGGCTGCTGAGACTGGATAAAACGGAAGACAACCAGGCATTGCAGCTAGCGGAAGTGCAACTGATCGAGTTCGCCGATAACGTCAATCGCTGACGTTTTGTCACATTGCCGAAGTGGGCAGAGTCACGACGACGGGCCACGCCTTCCCTTTCCTGTGAAGGAGTAGGGTGGCGAGACCATGTGAAAATTTGAAACCATCTGAACATGATGTTCTATACCCTGTAACTTCCTTAATATAGCACGCATTCGCAAAATTCTTGTGGCAGCATGTTAACGAAGTAAAATTGCACAGATTTCTATTTACAACTATTTTTGGACCTTGGGGTTGTTTACTGGCCCTTTAAAAGGAGTTAAGTTTACTGAGAGATCAACATGACCGAAGAGTTCAAGTAGGAACACAATTGTATGAGAGGAAGTTGTTTCGTTTAAGCAGCAGTTATGTTTAAAAGATTTTGGTTTACTAAAAGTCTACTGTATCTTGGTTTTGACATAAAAAGTGGCACCAATTATTACTTTTTGTGAGTTTTTATTAAAAAGCTGGTCTGTCATGTAAGTTGCATGAAGTAGCTCCAATGAACTCACACGACATAGCGAATGAGATGTACACTGGAGGGTGTTCTGTTTGAGCTCCACCCTTCACGAACACAGGTGCCTCGTCCACCATCCTAGGGTGGAGGTGCATACTAGGTGGGACTACCTCATAGTAATTGTTCAGGGACTAAGTCTTCTTGTCGCACTCGTGTGCCTTCCTTGGAATTAGGAGTGAGGGAGAAAAGCAGTCTGTGTATGAGAGCTTTTGGTTGGAAAAAAATCTTTCGGGAAAGCTGCCTTGTAGATTTTTGCAAATGGTCAATTATTTAAACTAGAATTGAAGTGAATTCGAATAGTGTAATATTTGTTCGAATATTTGAAGCACTTGAACATTCTCTCATGCCTAACTTTTTAGCAATTACAATTTTCACATTGTGATGCATGAAGCAGACACAATAACGTTCACTAGGCTTACTTTAGCGATAGCATGGAAGAAACTGCAGCAAAATGACCCTGTCCATTTCAGCTGGAACAACAGGCTCAAGTCCTCGTGGCATGTCGCCTGCACCCTGGGCATCTGCTTTCATCTAGTTGCAAACATTTTTGCCACTGGCCTCCTGCTTTACGTCTCCAGCCATAACTACCCTGGGGGCTACGCACTTAAAAAGCTGCACGAAATTGAGGCAGGATTGCCAGGTAGGTAGGATTGCAATAGTATTGTCAGTTTGTTGATTGCGTGCAGGTAGATGGTTGCGATTCTAGTTTCGCTGTGTCCAGGCTCATGTGATATGTGCACCGTAGCATTCGCATTACACCAGTGAGAAGGTTTTACGTCCATGTCATGTGTGGTCTCCATAATTTATTAACCGCAAGCAATTGCAACCGACAAAGAAATTGCGGTAGTGAGCTGGAATTATGTCAAGAGACTGAAGCTATGATAATTGAGCCGGGATGATTAGAGTATGCTTAATTATCATAATTTCCTGAAAAGCAGTCATGCATGTTTGTGATTATAAAACAGTTGCTGCTGAGAAGGCTGCAAGGTGGCGAGATAGTGTGCACTGTAAAAATAATTCACAATGTTTGCCTACGATAGGTGGAAAATCATTTCCACCACGGTAAGTAACAGTGCATCAAAAGCTGATGGACAAGCACTACTAAGGGCTCCCACTGGGTTTCATAATACCTTTCAGAGGTGTTATCCTCAGTTATCCACTGAGTTTTATCCACTGAGGTGAATACCTCAGTTATCCCTCATTGTTCACTACACCAAATTCTATTCATAGGAATACAGGTGGTGTGACTTGTGCTTTCATACATCTGTGCAGCCATCGTTGCAGAGGGGTGAGAGAAAGTGTTGGGTCGCATGATGGTTTCACGCAGCACCACGACATGCCCTTTTGCAGCTACGGGGCTGTTAGGTGTTGTCGGTCATACCGTTGCACTCCTGTCTCTCTGCAAATGATACGTCTGCAAGGAATAATGATGCACTCTTCACAATGGTGAATTGTAATAAGAGGTCAAAGGCTTGTTTCATTTTCAAGTTCAGTACTTCAGGTGTGCATTACTTAGTCCTCATGTCATGATGTGTCCAATGTAAATGCTGGGTGTGCAGTTTGGGATGAAAAATTCTAGGAGTCAAATGAAAGAAACACTAATACTTACTTTACCATCTGCTACAGCCCCCTTTCGAGAGCTTGTCAACCAGCCTGACAATGGAAGCAAGCATGCGCTGCATTTTACTACTTCATCATGAGCTCACTTTTTCAATGGTGTTCGCAACACACTCTTTCACACGCAGTTTTCTCCTTCTCATTTTGTTTAGCTTGTGTGCGCAGGGCACGTCATCGGAGGGAGTTATTGTTTTACTCGGGCATTCAAACTGAGCGCCGTGTTGTTACAACAAAAGTGGCACTTTATTCCTCTGTGCTTGTTCATTTTAGTTGCAAATATCCACATCGACGTGTTTGCTGCTCAGACTGGGGTCTCCAGATTCGGAGAGCTGAATCCTCACTGGAGGTAAGGACATTGTGCGGCTTCTTAGCTATTTTTTACTGGGTATCCTAGTGTTCAACTGAAGGAGTTGCATTTTTATTGTCCATTGTCTTGGTGTAATTTGTTTTGAAACACCACAAGTAAAATACAAAAGTTTTTTTGTGCAAGACCTGCCAGAGGAAATTTATATGTTCTCTTTTGTTTTACCAAGTTTTCAAGTTTTCCGTTTAGTCAACTTTTATGGGCCTAGTTTCACCTGTAGTAGATAAAGAAATAGCCCATTAGGTCATTGTTAACAGTCCAATCAGTTTAATAATATCATGTGGCAAGGCCTAAAATGAGGCACAACAAGCCATGGCAGCAATACTTTTGCAGCCATTCCCAGTGCGCTGCATTGTGTGTCCATCCTTGTTGGTGCATGCAAGCATAAGAAAAGCCAGGTGTGAAGGTTTGGATATCGACTTGTACCAAGTGGCAACACTGTGGCTAAAGGGATTGGTGGGCTAGACATCGTGCATCACAAAGGCAAGCTCCCTGCAACGTATCAGCAGAAGTTGTCTCTCTCATTACCTAGTTCTTAAACGTTTTCTTGTAGTAAACCTGAAAAATTGATGTGTTGTCAAAGGAGCCATTGTTCAGGGCACTTGTTTCTTTGTCAGGCACAGACAACGAAATGAACGATGACAGCTATTTCGTGTGTTGTTCTTGGCCGTTATTTCGGTGGGATGGCTGTGGTGCACTGTTGTATTGCAACTTGCCCAAGTTGCTAGATTCCTTGTGGGTTGGGTATGCGGAAAGTTGCCCGTGGTACTATACTGGCTGTTCCAGAGTATACCTGTGCATTGGAAAAATTTTGTTGAGAAGGCGACACTGTATGCACTTAGCAATATTCACTGTGCACACTGAGCTTAAATGGTGCAGCACTTATGAAATAATGATAGGTTCGTGATATGTGTCCAAACAAAAATCTACTCCTAATGATGGCACTGATACTTATGGTTCATCATAGCTGCTAGCAGTGCTGGCTAACAATCCCAGGAGTACACATGCATAAATGGTTACTAAAGTGGAATGTGAACGCGTGCCACAGCAGCAGACCAGGGCTCCCTATTGGTCCTTATTACCAGCAAGTTTTTTTTTATTGTCCACTTTAACCTGAAAGGAAGGATCTCCAAGAAAGCAATAAAATTTCTGAAACACATCGACACTCCTCCTCGATACGCTTGCTTCATGTGGGTTCCGGGTCACTAGGGCCTCGGGGGGAATGAAGCAACACACGCCACGGCCCGCGAATGCATCAACTGGGCTTCCCCACACAAAATTAGAGACACCTCCCACACCAGAACACCAAAAGAAGAAACCGAATCGGTGCCCTTAATTTCCCATGAAATGCTGCAACACTGTCGGTTACAATGCAGATTCTACCCTCCCATGCATCCCAAACTATCAAGAGACAAAGGCACGGACTCCAGGTACCTTCAAAGCAATACATTTATGCATCCTAATGCATCACCTCAAATCATAGAGTTTGATAGAATAATACCTAAAGAGGAATCTGGCACTGCGATGGTGTACCTCCGTGGGAATCAAGGGAAGTATAGGCTTCGGATTAGATAGAAATAACTGGCAAACAGTCTACGGACTTTTTTTCTATAGTTTCAGTTTCGTTCTTCGATCAGTGAGGGTAGTGGTGTGCGGTGAAAAGGCTGAAGCAGTGTCATTGTTGGTCGAAGAGGCTGACGACCACTATATTTCCTGATTTGCTGTGACGCTAGAGCTTTAAGAGTCGTATTTGACAGTTTAAACGAAGCGTTGTCCATTCAATGCTGCGCATAGATGTAGCGTCTCATGCCAGTGCAGGATATTGCCTGGAGTTTCTGTTTTTTACGAGCGCATCTTGCCTAAACCCATTTTAAGTCGACTGCAAAACGATGACAAAGCTTAATAGATGCACCGTCACGCTCCGCTGACTTGACTTTACAACAAAACTAGAGGTGTGTTGGGGGCAGACCACTGGAACCACTGGAACAGACGCACTTAGCGTCGCAGAAGACGAAACGATAAGTGTTTCTCACTTAACACTCTATTGTTAGTTCCATAAATAGATAATGTGTACTTTCAAGAGAAAGACAAGCACGTTTGTTTTGAAGTGTTGTGAGAAATAATTCATTGAATCTTGATGCCAAATCTGGAACGCAATGGCAGAGCGATGCATACCCTGGTGGTTGAATTTGCCCAGGTTTCACTTTTGCCGCCTGGTCGCGAGAACGTCTTGCAATAAAGTTTGAGCACAAATAATTGAAGCAAGTTTAAATTAAATCTAAGTTCATATCATTTTGTTTTACACTCGGAAAAGAAGCGTCGCGAATCTCAAGAAAATAATCCATCTGAAGCGGATCCAAAGCTTGTACTTCCCATAATTCCCATAAGGGTACAAGCGCCGCTGAAGGAACCCGCGTAGACACTAGCACCAGATTTCTCTTTGGGTATTATTGTATGAAACTCTATGGCTCAAACCAATGTCATACGACTACATCTGCCCACACTGTAATGTGGCAGACAACCAAGCCCACCTATTACTGCAATGCAAAGGCAGCAACCAAGCCGCACAAGCAACACCATTAACTGCAGACCCACATTTCCTCAGTGAAACGTGGGAGGCTGCAATCTTCAAGCGGGACCTGGTTGACCACTGCCAACTCGTCGCGAGCACTGAAGGTGGCCCAGGCCAGAGGGTTATTGGAATGAGGGACCCTCCCACATTCACGCATTGACCACCTAATAAACGTTTTTCTCTCTCCACTTTAATTAATTTCCACTTATGTCATTATTACTACACTACTGCAAGAAAACGACAAATTTTAATGTGCCTTGTGCTTTCTTTTGGCTTCACTGTCTGTTGACTTCAATGGATTGTGTTTAACGAAGAAACGAGCCCCTGAATCATACCCCTTTTTTCGTTATTGATACAATACGAGTATAAGTAATGAGAGTACCTTATGACATAGTTATACACCTTATGTAGTGCCTGATAACCTTTTTTAGTATTCGATTCGTCTTTGTGTGTACTAGTATTGCAATTCTGTTCATCCTGTAAACCAATGCTTAATAGTTTGTGTATACTGTCCCACTCCTCGGCCCTTGTCACAGGGGTATGCACAGTTCCCCTTGAAGAGTGGCGAATGTTTGTTGCAGTGCCCCCTCCCTGTCTGTCAAAGTATGGGGCAGCCACTCTCGTGCGCATGCCTGTGGTTGTTTCCCACTGCAAGATGCACTACCACCTGACCCTGTGTCTCACTTAATGTTAACGGGAATGAGCAGTAACTCTCGGCCAAAAAAAGTATGCACTCCTGCTCATCCTTTTAAAGGGACACTAAAGAGAAACAATGAGTTGTTTTAGATTGATAAACTGCCCTCTGAGAACTTTAATGTCATAAGTTCATTATTAGTGGAAAAAATCAAGGATGAAGTTTCATTTTAAAATTTCGCGTCGTAATCTCCACGTGTGATGTAAGAAATTCCACAAGGTATCTTTTTTATCTTCGCGATATTCGCTCGATGACATTTTCTGAAACTTCATATGCTAAGTCTATGGCACCCACCGATGACAATGTACTTCAGTTTTATCAATTATAAGGTACGTAGGACACAGTAGACGTCTTCAAAATTTATCATGCCACAGTGTCTGGTGCGGGAATCTCAGATTGACGTCTCCACCTGCAGTTTCTTTTCCCACGTTGCTTTGCTCACTAAGTGTCATATCACAGTAAGAGTTATTTTTTTGAGATTGTGAAATTGTACTCTATTAATATACGCGAAAAAGTGTTTTGGTCTTAAGTGTCCCTTTGAGGCAACTTTGCTAAATACTACCACAGCCTTGTGTTGGCAAAGGACAGTGGGAGCTGGCGGCAGAGACAGAGATTCTTTTTTTAATGTAAAAAATTCCACAGGGTGATTTCAGCAGAGTGGATCAGCAATTGGGAGTAGTACAAATTTAAAAAGTTGGCAAATCTACAATGTTTAGCTAGAGCATAATCAAATGAGGGAGCCAGAAATAATCAGGCAAAGAAAGCAACTTATTGCAACTATAGTAATAGAATATCGTACGCTAAAAACGTGTTTTAAAAATCAAATGCAAGAAAATAAAAAAAACAGTTCTATGGATCATTTCGGATGCTACATTGCATATATTTCTAGAGATAAGTGTAGAGTGTAAGCAAATGGTGAACAGTGTCAACAAAGCTGTGAATAACAGCAAAACACGTGAGATCTTAGAGGCAAGTGGCAAACATTTTGAGAGATGGTTGTAGAACAACATTATGAGTCAGTTCGTTCCAGTCTCTATTGGTCCTTGTAAGAAAAACAAGATTCAAATTTTAGATTGAAAGGGTGAGATAGTGATGCTGCCTTGTGGCATAACTTAATTCTCCTCCCCCCTCCCCATTTCCGTGTACATCAAGATACAACAAAACAGAAAACCTTGCTCCTGGTGGTCTGGAGATGCAGAGCTTCACGCACCTCATAATGGAGGGCAAGTCGATTCACAGTAGCTCTGTGGTGCCTTACCGGGACACCCACGAGCTGCTGGCCACAGTGGAAGGCTATAGCCACGTGCGGCTCAACTACGCTGCCTTGCCGCTTGTGCACGTGCGGACTCGACCTCGAGTGCTCATTCTCAGGCGCAAGGTGACACCCACGCAAGTCATCCTCAACCTCCAGCGCAAGCAGTCGGCGCAAGTGTGATGGTGAAAGTGTTGTTGTTGTTCTCGACATACGCGTCAGGTCCATGCTGACCATTTTGGTTTGCTTAGTGCAAAGGTTGCGGAGATCTAGAAATGGAGGAAGTGGTGTTAGGAATGGGGCAATAATCAGCATACTGTATTGATTTTTTATTTTCACCTTGGTCATCAGTGCATTTGCACAAATGGTTTAAATCGGCAGCATTTTTTCGTTTACGTTTATCTTAACCAATGCAATTTGTTCAAGACCTATGGGTTTTATTTGTGTGTGTCCAAGTCACTATCTAAATTTTCATTGTGAAATTAGCATCCCCCAAAACACTACATTAGTACATGGTTCTATGTGAGATGCATGGAGAACATCTATTTAGTAAATAATATGTATAATTATGTACTCCGATTTCTGTCTTGCAATTTTTATGCATGTGAATCCGAACTTGACTCCTGTCCCTTCATCTGTAGCGAAGCAGTATACTTTGTGTTAGAAGCAAGCGTGTCAGTGGCATCAATTTGTGAAGTCGCTAAAGATATTCTGCTTTTTGGGATTATTTTCCAAGCCTCCCTATAAATTTTTGTATAGTGCAAACGTAGTAACTTGGTTCAAAAGCATCCTGTATGAATGTTAAAAATAGCATAGTTACACGGTGATAGAACATTATTGCATGTTTCAAGGCTGAGAGATGGCTGAGAAATAGATACCTGTCTAGAGCAACATAAGGTAAACATGCACTCTTTAATTGGCACCTCAAGGTATCACTCACTGGCCAAGTTGTGGCTTTAGCTCTGTTTGGCTAGTTGATTGATCTTCATGAAAGTTTGTGAAAGTTGAGATGCAGAAAGGTGACTGGAAGAAGTGCAACGTAGCGCTGCACTGACTGCATTTTGACTGTGTCCTCTGTCGCACTGTGAAAATTGGTTTTTCAATAACTGCAGCATGGTTCATCTCCACGGAAAAGTAAGCATGACTTAGCATTGTTGTAACAGGATAAAAAGATGATTGCAGGACTCACGACACGCTTTCAATCGGTCGTTTACTTTTTTTTTAGTCAATGGCCTCAGCCAGAAATAACTTACCCAGCTGTTACTACTGTCACTCGCATCATTTGACTCACAGAGCTGTCTTGATTACTATGCAGTCTGAATTTGTTTATACCTCGACTTGGGCTTGTGTGCTGCAGACGAGTGTCATACAAGCCTTTGTCATCTGAGTCCTGTAAGTATGGAAATTTATTCTCTGAAGATTAAATTAGTGCACTTGTGAATTCAAAATGAACACTTGCATAGCAAGTGCTCTTCATGCAGATGATATGCAGCAACCCATTGTAAAAAAAATAATAATTGAAAAGGATGCAGAAAAAATGTAGTATATACCATGCTCCACATCTTTGTGTATTGCCTGCTCCTTTATCCGTTCATAGTGGGTTTCAAATTTTCACCAACAAATGCAATGTGTACTCATATAGTGTTGATCTCTAATTCACACTTCATAATGTGCTAGCCTTGTGCCATTCTGCGACATGATTCTGAGCACACGATGCGTTAAGGACAATCATGTGGCACGTTATTATAAAGCTCATGTCATTCACTATTTCTTATCCATGTGCATTTAGTGATAGCTGTTTTTTTGCATTGTTAGCAAAGTAAGCTGGAAAACAGTGAAGCAATTGATTATGCCGAATGCGTCTTTCAGTTATCACCTAGTTTGAAGGGTCAGTTTCCAACGAAACCTCAGCTTTTCCCACGTTTATGGTCTTTATGAGGGGGAAGTGACGTTTCACGAAATAGTAAACCACAATTAAAGGCACCAAACGTACTTTCTCTCTGTCCAACATGTAACAGGACGGCGCAAGAAACAAGAACAGAGAATGATGCGCATGTAGGATGGGCACAAACTTCCAACCATAATTCATAATGCAGTGGCTCTTGTGAATAGACATCAGTTCAACTTGTGAAGTTCATCAGTTCAGCAAGAAAACATACAAAAATAAAATGCAGTTAACTATGCCCCTTCCACACCAAACACCATGGCATCTCTTAAGTCCTACATAGAGCCAATGTAACTAAAATAGAACTGCACTTTGAAATCCGTAATGCCATGCTCATAGACTTTTGGCACGAATTTAAAAATGAGACTGTGACCGTGATTTTCTCCTCTGGTAATAAACCCATGATGGTGAAATAATGTCATTAGCACATTTTGAATACAATCTATCAATCTAAGCCAATTCAGTGTTACTGCACACGGGAATTTCGACTGGAGAATGGTCCTGGTGTATCACAACCTCATACTACAGCACCCCAGTTGTTTCATTATTAGATGTGAAGCAGCTCTTTGACTAGCCTGTGTAACGCTGTCCCTTCGTCCTCACCGTTCCTATTCCCGTAGGTGTTGGAGCGGTGCCAAGTAGCTCACGCCCTCCTAGCTGTGCGCCGTGACGTCTCTGTCTCGCCTGCCACGTGTCAGCTCTCTCTCGCTTCACCCTCTCCACCACTTGCAACGCTCGAGTTCACTTTTCACGTAAGCATCATCTCACCCGAGCCACCTTTCTCCATCTGTTGGCGAGAGGAAGCCACGAGCTAGCGGGTGCGCGTCGAGAATCTCGCAGCGCCGACAATGTGGACAGTGCATTGCTGCTTGCCACGGGATGTGGCAGTATACTTTCCGCTAGTGTGCGTGTACCTTTCCCGGCTAAAAATACACTAAAAAAACTCCCCACAGAAACAAGAAATGTAGAATGTCACACGTGATTCAAAAGTTTAATACACTCAAGCCAAGAAATATAAATGTTTCAAAAGACTCTCTTAAATCTGTTCAATATAGTAGGCACACAAAAACAACCAGCCAAACTTAGAATGTGAGAATTTTAGCCATTCTGACCGTGTAATCCTCATGTTGATTTGCTGCTCCCATGTAGGTTTTGGTGAAATACAAAGGCACGATTTTTCCCAACCTCGTCAGAATCGGCTCAGAGCCTGACCCCCCGCCTACCTCCTCAACGGCCAGGTCCTGCATGATTTTTTCTTTCTCGCTTTTAGGCTTTCTCTCCTCTACTTTTGAGGGCAAGAAAGGATGACACGCTCCTAAGGAAGCCAGCTCCTGCACTTCACAGTGGAGCAAAAGCTGCAAAGGCACAACCGCAGTGGTAGAGGTGCTGCTGCAAATTGTGGTTTTTGTTCGTTACTGCTCTGAACCTACTCCCGAATGGCACTGAGAACATGATAATGAGGGACTTTCATTGTGTGACCAGCTTTCAAGCCATAAAGAAACTGAAAAGAATGCGTATACTATGATGCTTGCATGTTAATATGCTTTGTTGGCTCTTATTTATGCAACAAGAGCTGGCATACCAAGAACATTTAAATTTAGAGCTTTTTAAATTTACATGCAGGCTGTTTAAGCAACATATAAAAATGACCGAGAGTGTATTTTAAATATATAGCTCCATACCACAGGCATTCAATAAGCAATCTAATAATAATTTAAGTTGTTTGTGGGCTGTGAAACATCTTTCATAACAAATAATAATATTTATGCAACACTTCAATGACTCTGAATCCCTGGAGTTATGCAGCATATTTTTGCAATCTGCTCCTAAAACACAATAGCTGCTCCAGACTGGCATTTTTCCTGCTACGAAAACACTCATGGCCGCTCTCAACCTTTTCTGTTCCCAAAAGTAAAAAGTCACTTCCATCACTGCATCCGTGTGGCTCTGCAAGTAGTACGGCAGCTTGCGGCTGATTTCAGTTTTTATCGCTCGCATCTTTAATGCGCTTGCAAATTTATTTTCGTAGATGTGAATGGGAGAAACATGCTGATGGTTTGGTGTACATTTTAGTATATTATGCATATATTTTTCTGGCGGAACTAAACAGCACGTTTGCGATCTCATACTGACCAACTACATCATAGATGCCATGTGTACTTTAGAAAACAGATACGCTGAAAAGGTGGTAAAAAATGTGCTGAAAGGGAAGGCATTCTGGCAATGTGAACTATATTTTACAAACAACTTCCCGCAGCTGTTTGAGCCTTATAATAAATAAAGAAGCATTTGCTTCAGCAAGGCAAATTTATCTGCAAATTTAATTACTTTTTTTTTGTGTGGTAGCAGACATGCACTTTTATTCTTGTTGCTTCCACTCTGCTTTCAAGAAAAGTTATCGCAGAATACGCAAGTTTTCAACGAAGATTCTCTGTGTGCCGCCATAATCCTCTATGGGCTTAGCATGCACGAACCCTAAAAATGCACCGCAGAGGCTGTGATGTTAGCTGCTGGCACGCAACAGCCCTCCCTTGGTGAGGTTTTCTAAAGTGTGCCGCCCAGTGATATTCCTTGTTTGAGTATTTTTCATCGCTTCAAGCCTCCCGTGAACCTTTTAATGAGAGGATTGATTATAGAGCAAGTAGGGCATAGTTTTACGTTTGGTGTTGAGAGTTTACGGGAGAATATGGAGCAGGCCATGCCTCGCAGCACGCTTACGCGAGTTACAGAACAGTTGGCCAGACAAGGGAAGCACAACTTAAGAATGGTACAAAAATTGGGTCATGAAGTTGCATCTCTCTCAAGGTGTTCGCTGAAGAGGCATTCTTGGGACAGCCGCTTCTATGAAGACTAATTGCCGCAGAATGTTCATGGGGGCTTAACCTTGAATGACTAGAATAGTTGCTGTGGTATGGCAGTTTCACTCTTTAGTGCATCGGTTTCACCGATCATTTCTAATCACTCTGAACTAATTATAAGTGGCCATGCCTTGCAAATCTCAATGTGCAATGGTCTCTTTGCCCACTGCGCCAACTATTTCAGTCTTGAAATTCAAGTGAACAATGTGCACATGCATTATATTTTGCTTGTATTAAAGCAAAAAATTAAACGAAATGTGGAAAAATATTTTTGGGGTATTGCATGTCAAAAACCAATCATGTTATAGAACTGTGATGGGGAATGCTGGATTATGGTCGACCATTGAAGACCCTGCACCACAATGATAGGTACATTTGCACTTATCGAAGTGTTGCTGCCCCTGCCCACTAAATTGTGCTCCAAGCATGTGTATAGAACTCGGGCACACTACACCGTTCATTCAAGCATAGACTACCTTGTGGCTCTATATTTCACGTTACAGAGCCTGTATTTCAGTAGTTGTGCCATTTTGAAACCCCATGTCGCTGTTTCTTCTTGAATAATTGGGTACTCAGATTACATTTGTGATGCTCGGACTAGTTTAGCTTGTTCATGGATTAAAGAGAGCGGGAAAACCTGTGCACGCAAAAACATTGTTGTCCTTCCTTTCAAAGAATTGACTTTTGTTGATGTGCATGAATGTGAGGTGAAGCACCTTTAGTGCAAACATATGTGAGCCACTGCTTAACTCGTATCTAGAGAAGGTAGGTAGTGTTTTATAAAAGTGCAAATTGTGTCTAAATCACCCTTCTGGATGAAGCCGAGGGGTGGTTCTTGTCTCTGCAGCATACATTTGGGCTCAATTCAAATAGCTGAACAACATATATTTCTGACCCATATGAGAGAATGTGACAGTGATTTTCGAAGCCAAGTATGAAATTATGTGCTTGACAATTGAAAATAAAAGTAATAATAAAGCTGGAAATACACTATGCTGCATGTGGTAGTAATCACTTTTTGTTGTAGATTGTGCGCTCCAAGCACAGGAGTACGCAGATTTTTTTTTTTTTTTTAGGCGAGAAGGGGGGGGGGGGGGGAATTTTTTTATTTCAAGTGAAAGCTGAACAGGCAGATGTGTTTAAGTGTCATTTTATGCTCTGTATGCCATCGAAAAAAAAAAAAAAGCTCAGAAGGGGAGGGGCTTTTGTCCTAGCAAGCCTATGCCACTGGATTGAAGTATAACTAGTCACGAAATAAGTTTTGGGATCTCACTTTATGTACTCTTTGTTATGTAGTGAGTCAGCATTGACAATTTTTTCAATGTCATCATTTTACACAAGCTTACTTGCACTGCGAGCGTGGTCAAATAATGTGCACCTTGACAAACTTCGTGCTACCATAACATAGCCTACACAAAAATTTTGCCATCAACATTTTTTTTTTTCCAAATACACAAGTGGAGACTCCACACGTTAACAAACAATATATAACTACTGCAATGCTTAATCTCTATTTGGTATGTGCGCATTCAAGCAATGATGCAATACCAGGAATGTTTTGTTCTCTAAGGAAGAGCAGATCTTCGTGGAAACGATGGTATTGTTTAGGACAAGATTGTCGCAGCAAGTTGAGGCATGTTCCAATCTCGTCGCAAAGTGCAGATTTGCTGAATTGGTCGCATGCAAGCTTGCATATGCTCTCTGTAATCCTCCTGAAATGAAATGGGATCCTTGGCCACATCTGTTTCATCAGTTCTGCTAATGAGGCCAAAGCATTTTTCCTGCAGATCTGTTCATCCGTGTCGTGCACTTCCACATATTCCAACAGGACTCTCAGTGTCCTGTTCAAGTACTTGGCAACATCCATTCCAAGGCATTTAACGTATGGTGAAAACTGGCTCGAGTAAGCCCTCCTTAGGGCAAATGTTTGCTCCACTTCAGCAGCAGTTAGCAACTCGCAGTACACATCACCAGCCATCTTTCGACGCCTCTGGTCATCATGGGTTTGAAGAGCGTCCAAATGGTCTGCGAAAATCAGGTTCCGTAAGCACGTGTGCAGCTCAACAATTACGTCCGGCTCTTTAACGTACAGCAAGTGTTTGAGAGCGTCAAAGAGCACCTCGAGGCGGCCATACTGGTCAAGTTCACTCGGTGGGACACTGACAACGATACGGCGAACGCATGCAAGACCGAGTCTCTGGTTGTACGTCATGTAGTCGTCTACAAGCAGCAGCGATGGTGCCATAACCATGGGCAGCGCGTGGCGCATGTCATTCGGAGTAAGAGCCAAGAGCACTTCACGATAGACGTGCCTGTAGCAAGGATTCTTCTTCCAGGTCTCCTTTGCCAGTTTCGGCCAAATGTATTTCAGTACGGAAAGGCGCTGCTCGGGCGCCGAAAACGAGTTGAGCTGCGACGACAACGCCGACGATGCGGCGACCGACTCCTCGCTGCACCAAGGCAATTCAGATTTGCAGTGTGCGAAACAGAGAACTTGCAAAGGTGTCACGAAGTGTTTGGTCAACTCCGGCGCGAAAGTACTTATCAGTAGGCGGGCGCAAATCATGCCTTCGGTGGCAGCTTCAGCAACGCCAGGGAAGTCATTTTTATCATGTTCTCTCTCTTCATCATCGCTGGAATCTTTGGGGATGCCACTCTGCAAAAGCGACTGGGACAGCGCACAAAGTGTACTTTCGGCGTCGTCCGGCCGAAGTGCTCGAAGAAGCGCGAGTTTTTTCGTTGGACATTTCTCGGAAACAATGGATCTTACAAGCTCCATGACGAGAACCTCAGGCGCATGCTTCAGGCACAGAACACCAGGTATGTAAGACCACTAGTTTCGAACAACTTGTCACCGAACACGGTCCTCCTAGATTTCCCTTCCCTGTCGGATGAGATCGAAACGCCGGTCATTTATGGCGGCGCTGTCTACGTAGGAATAAAGGCCTTTGTACTCAGCCTTTAAAATCGGCAGTTTTGGTGTTTTTTACTAATCTCAGAGGATGCCTTATATTGAAAAAGTTGCCTTTTGAATGACGCTGTCACTTACGTAGGGTCAATTATAATTACGTGTACGCTTTTTTTAAACTTTTTTACGTTATTTTTGTTGCGTATAAGCTCCAAAAACGCAAAAACTTATTTGAAAACATTCCTACTTAGGTGGCGCTAATATTAAAGTTTCGACGACGGCCGCTTTCCAAGTGACCACCAATAATCCGGCAGGCAAGCAAAATCTCGGAGGCTCAGACGGTGGTAACCACAACCCCTAGGAGGTTATACTAAACTTTCTGGAGTGGCGGAGGGGCTCCGCGGCTGACGCCACGCGCCGCCATATTGCTCAGGGCAGAAAGCGGTCGAACGCATTGTAACGCGTGCATGTGCGTGCGGCCTCTCCGTTGTTTTTCTTGAGTGCGGTGCCTCTAATCGAATGAGGCCGCTGTGGCAGACGACTGTGACCTCTTCTGAAGACGATGGTGGGCTCTTGCGCAGCATTTGGCTGCGCAAATCGCGTGAAGCAAACACCGGGGATAACTTTTCACGTGTAAGTAGCGTGCTTTGCTCGCTCGCTTTCCCTCGCATATTTTTGCGATTACGAATGCATTCGCGCGTACAAGCATTTCCCATTTACGTCCGGGTGCCATGGAGACACTGTGAAACATTTTTGTGCTTTGCAGGTTTCCCAAAGACTGCGAATTGCGCAGTGCATGGGAGCGCGCTGTGAGGCGAGAAGGTTGGACTCCGAAGAAGAATGACGTCTTGTGTTCAACGCACTTTGAAGCAGACTGCTTCGATAGAACAGGGCAAACAACGAGACTACGAGCTGGTAGCATCCCTACCAAGTTTGCAGCGTTTCCAGCGCACCTACAAAAGCCAGTGAGTACGCTTCGTGAGCTCTTCGTTTACCAAATGTAGTTATTGTAGCGTTAGCTCCGCATCTCTGGGATTTTCAGTTTCTAATATTTAGTTGCGCATTCGCTCTAAATGCCTAAATTTATGACGCTGTCGCGTTATTCCTCTTTTTGCGTAGGAGAAGAGAAAACGAGCTCCTCCAAAAAGTCGGGAGATGCCTTCGCATCAGGAGCCTGTTTTGGATGAAGCTGCCGAAGTCTCCCCCCTGCAAACTTCCCCCCCGAAGGAGTGGTACAAGCAGAAAGTGCATGAATCGGCGAAAGAGGTACAGCAGCTGAAAAAGAAGGTCAAGACGTTGCACCAGAAGAAACGGAGACTTTCAAAACGCATTGATGCTTCTCAGGATTTGATTGAGCAGCTAAAGGAGCAGAACCTTTTGTCGGAAAAAGGGTTGGAGGTTTTCCAAGCGTCATTTTCTCCGGATATCCAGCAGCTTCTCAAGAGAACTCATGAAAAGACGAACAAATACCCCCCAGAATTAAGAGCATTTGCACTGACGCTTCACTATTATTCGCCAAGGGCTTATGATTATGTGCGAGCTAAGTTTAACAATGCTTTGCCAAACCAGCGAACTCTTCACGAATGGTACAAGGCAGTGAATGGTGATCCTGGCTTCACCTCAGAATCATTCGAGTTTATCAAGAACATAGTGCAAGGAAGAGATGAGCCACTGGTCGCTGCCATAATGGTTGACGACATGTCTATTAAAAAAACATGTCCAACTTGTGGGCAACAAAGTTTTCGGATATGTCGACTTGGGCATGGAAATGCCAGATGACAGCCTCCCAGAAGCAACGAATGCCTGTGTTTTCATGCTGGTGGCACTCAATATGAGGCTGAAGGTGCCCCTTGGGTATTTTTTCATTGATTCTCTCTCTGGTTCTGAAAGAGCGCAGCTAACGAAAGAGTGTATCTCGCGCGTGACTTCAGCAGCTGTCATAGCAGCATCACTGACTTTTCATGGAGCGGCCTCGAACTTTTCAATGGCCAGTTTTCTTGGTGCTGATCTCCGCTGTCGTTCTCCGGGATTTAACACCTCATTCCAGTGCTTAGAAGATTGCCCAAGCAAAGTATTTGTGATTCTAGATGCCTGCCACATGATCAAGCTTGTGCGTAACTGCTTGGGATCAGTAAACCACCTCACTGATATTCAAGGGCGCAAAGTGAAGTGGTCATACATTGAAGCTCTTGAGGCCTTGCAACAAAAAGAGGGCTTGCACCTTGGAAACAAGCTGACGAAAGTTCATCTGGAGTGGGCAAAGCAAAAAATGAAGGTACGACTGGCTGTGCAGACCCTTAGCTCATCTGTTGCTGATGCACTGGACTTCTGCGAGTATAAACTGAAGCTTCCCCAGTTTCAAGGTGCCCACGCAACAGCGGAGTTCATTCGAATCTTTGATCGCCTCTTCGATATTCTGAACTCGAGGAACCCTCTGGCGCGATCATTCAAAGCCCCACTACGGCAGCAGAATGCAGCTTCTTGGAAATCGTTCTTCCACGAAGCCGAGGAGTATATTAGGGGGCTGAAGGATGCAAGTGGGCGACCAGTGATAGATGGACTGAAAAAAACTGGGTTTGTTGGCCTCATCATTTGCATTCGAAGTGTCACTGCCCTTTTCGATGCCCTTGTGGCCACGAAAATTTTGAAGTATCTGTTGACGCACAAGATGTCGCAAGACCATTTGGAAACGTTTTTTGGTTGTGTGAGGGGAAAGGGGGGATACAACAACAACCCCACAGCCTGCCAGTTCAGAGCCGCCTATAAGCGCCTCCTCTTCCACACAGAGGTAACATCGTCTGACGCTGGGAACTGCTGTCGAGATGTGGTGTCTATCCTGAACATGTCCAGTGCTGTCAGCCTTGCCGAGTCACCAACAGCAGTTACGTCACACAGGAGGTCGTCGCTTCTGGAGCCTGTGGATGATGAACATGACTACACTCATCGTGTGGATCTCCCCCAGAGCCTTTCAGCGGTGACGAGTGCTGTTGTGCCGTATATAGCGGGATTTGTGGCTCGCAAGGTGCGGTCTGTCACGAATTGTGAGGAGTGCTGTGCTGCGCTGGAATCAAGCGAAGAACCAGACCTTGTCAGAGCAAAAAACAGAGGTGGACTTGTCGCACCATCCAAGGACGTCTTGGAGATCTGCAGTATTGCAGAAAAGGGACTGCGAGTACTACAGCATGAATGCAAGAATTTGAAATCCCTTAATACTAGCTCAGATAGCCTTTTGGTACATGTGATGACTGCAGTGTTTGAAAAAGCATTGTTCGCGCAGCTGGAGCCTCACCTGCTGGACTGTGACCCCCTTGATAACCATATATATAGCTTATCAAAGAAAATTGCCAGCGTGTACATCAGAACAAGACTTCATCACATTTCTAGGAGAATGAACCAGGAGAACTGTAACAAAAACGTGCGCACACTCCTAACAAGAGAGATTATTTTCAAAAATCGCTAAGTGCGAGAACTTGATTGATGTGTTTTTCTATTTAATTTAGCTCACTGTTAGTGTTTGATGCATTTGTTCTTTTAGTCAGAATTTTAATTTTTTGCTGGAAGATTTAACGTTTGGTTTAGTCAAATGCATCTGGTGCTGAATGTGACTAACTGTAGGGTTTAACGGGCCGACGCATTGCAGGCAATGAGCCTTGCCGTAGTGGAGGGCTCCGGATTAATTTTCACCATCTGGGGATCATTAACCTGCGCCGAAATCTCGTTTTCGCTTTTCGCCTCCATTAGAAAAGTGGCCGCCGCGGCCGGTAACCGTGGTGCTGAATGTGGACAAGTGAATAAATATGGTTGTACCGTGAACCTTCAGTTTCCTTTATTGCGTTATTGGTTTCATATTTTTGTTTTCGTCTCCAGCTAGCATTCTACAACTTCTCCCGCTCTTAAATTTTATTTTCGTTGCATCTTCTCGAGCGGTACTTCTGCCGTGAGACAACAGTGTAAACATGTAACACAAACTGATATCCTATCGCATCATCTTTAACTCTCAGTGTAAGTGTCAAGAAAAAAATAAATAGGATGTATATTAGTCGTTTCAAAGTTCCCTCGCGTCCTAAGAAAAATAAAGCGGCCCTTTCATTGCTATTACAGAAGGCACGGCTGCAAGCGTACGGGGCACAACGGCGGCACAAGGCAGTCGCCGCCTCCTTCTGCCCTGAGCAATATGGCCGCCGACGGGTTTCCGCGGCTTCACTCCGATACATGGGCGGGTATGCGGGACCGCCACTCCAGAAGTTCCAAGTATAACCTCCTTGCACAACCCACCACCGCCTCTAGAAAGATGCCTGCGACATCGCACGCTTTTCTATGATGACAGGAGGTTCCCCGTAGTTTAGTGTTTTATCCACAAGAAGCGCTTTCAGTCAAGCCCAAGGAGCGCTTTCAGGGCAAATAACATGGCAGGTAGGAAGGCTGCAGTCGACGATAGATTACGCACTGATGTCACATAGGATGTATGATACGCTCAGGGGAATGCACATAGATGAAGGTGGCTCCAGAAGTATGGGTAGTGATCACAAACGTATCAAGCTAAGTTTTCGAAGAGTAGGGAAAGTGGGAAAGAGACAAGATGAGCAACTACAGAAAAATTTTTATTCAGAAAGGCAAATAGAAATAGCTACTAAACCAATTGAGAAAGTAATCACTGAGGATAATAAAACAGTGTGGACATATACGAATCTAATTAGACTGTTTGAGCTAGAGCTTGCTAAGGCACGTACGTGACAAGTCACCCCGGAAAAGAAGACACAAACCCAAACGTTGGTGGGATGAGAAAGTTAAGAGAGCCATAGCAAAACGTTGGGAAGCCTCTAGGGAACACAGACATCCTAAGCACCGGGGTAAACCGACAGATGATGTTCAAAGAAAATGGGACATCTTTCTAAGCTGTAGAAGGGATGCATCCCTTCTGATCAATGAAAATATTAGAAGAAAGGGAGATCAGTGGCTGGCAGAAGTACATAAAAAGATAGAAAGGCAACTGCGAAATTTTGGAACCTTCTAAACTCCCTAAGAAATGAGACGAGCCTAGAGCAGAGGTTTATAACTACAGTTCAAGGTGCTAGGCTAGAAGGGGACGAAGCTATTGAATATACAAGAACAATTGACACAAAAATTTCAACAAAGAAGTGCTTTATGCACCACAATAGACAAAGATGAATCAAGTGGCGCGATGGCTCCATTTTCACAACGAGAGTGGGAAAGGGCTGAGAAAAAGGTTCCTAATAGTACATCAACAGGCCCAGATGGCATTCCAATTATGCTGATAAAGACATTAGGTCCGAAGTCTAAGCAGGCTTTGAGAGAGGCAGTGAGCAAAATAATAATCGATGGCGAAGGTCCCTATGGATGGAAACTTAGCAGGATGAGCATGATCTATAAAGGAAAGGGGGATAAAGCTGACATAAACAACTACCGTCCTATAACAGTGACATTAGTGGTCTACACGCTGGCGATGCAGATTAAAAATCAAGACTGCAGGCATGAATAGAGGATGAGGGGGTGCCGGGGGAACTGCAGTATGGGTTTCGGAAACACAGGAGGTTGGAAGACAATCTGTTTCACTGACGAAGTGCATCGAAATAGCAGAAAAGGAACACAGGCCTTTGTGGCTAGCATTTTTGGATATCAAGGAAGCGTACGATATAGCGTGATTCAATAGGAATTGTGGGGAATACTAGACACACTAGGCGTGGAAGATGGAGTCACTAATCTTTTGAAAAATATCTATAAAGGTAACAATGTAGTTATAAAGTGGGAAAACCAGGTATCCAAGCCTGCAGAGGTGAAACAGGTGCTTAGGCAGGGGTGTCCTCTGTCACCCTTATTATTCATGACGTACCTACAAGGATTAGAGGCCAAATTAGAGGAAAGTGGACTGGGCTTCAACCTCTCTTTCGTCAAACTAGGAAAACTCGTTGAACAGGCACTACCAGCATTGATGTACGCAGATGATATAGTGCTAATAGCTGACAACAAGGAAGATTTGCAGAGATTGATGGTCATCTGTGGTAAAGAGGGAGATAGGTGATATTTAAGATTCAGTAAGGAAAAAAATCAGCATTCATGATTTTTAATGACAATGAAAGTAGTGAGCTTAGAATACAGGAAGTCAGGCTAGAGATAACAGATAAATACAAATATCTAGGCGTATGGATAAGCAATGGGACCGAGTACCTAAGGGAACACGAAATATACGTGACGACTAAAGGTAACAGGAATGCAGCGGTGATGAAAAACAGAGCACTGTGGAATTACAATAGGCATGATGTTGTGAGAGGAATATGGATAGGGGTCATGCATGGTTCCTGGTCTGACGTTCGGCAATGTGGTCTTGTGCATGAGATCAGAAGTTCGAGCAAGTTTAGAAATTAAGCAACGTGGAATAAGTAGACTTGCCTTAGGAGCTCACGGGAATACACCAAATCAGGGAGTACAAGGTGACATGGGATGGACATCATTTGAGGGCAGGGAAGCTAGCAGCAAGATTATATTTGAGAAGCGATAGAGAGAAATGGGGGAGGAGCGTTGGGTTGGGAAGGTATTCAGCTACCTGTACATGAAGAATGTCGATACAAAATGGAGGAAGCGAACCAGAAAATTGACTGATAAATACTTAGAAAACAGCAGGGGGCCAAACCAAAAGGAATTATCGGTCAAGAAAAAGGTGAAGGAAGCTGAGACCGATATGTGGAGAATTGGCATGATTAAGAAGTCCGCACTAGAGATCTATTGAACTTTTAAACAAGAAATTGCCAAGGAAAGGATCTATGATAATACTCGGGGTGGTTTTCTACTAGCTGTTTGAGGCCAGGACGGGAGTATTGCGAACCGAAACATATCGGCCCAAATACGAAGGGGTAGACGTGGTATGCAGTGCTTGTGGAAAGGAGGAGGAAACTGCCGAACACTTGATAATGTTCTATAGAGGGCTTCACCCTATAGTTCAGGATGATGTCACAGAGTTTTTCAAAGCACTGGGGTTTAGGGACAGGGAGGGCAAAATTATTGTGTTGGTCAAAATATTGGATGGATGGATGGATGGATGGATGGATGTGGCTTTACCCTTTAGATTGGGCGGCGGCTAACGTCACCTAGCCGTAATACTTAGTGAACTAACCATTACATTTATCTTTTTTTTTTCCTTTAAATAATGAAGTTGAGGATTCGTACTTCGCAGTGAAGGGTTTAATTTTCACTCGTGCCTTGACTTTAGCCACCAATCAGATAACCTCCTTCTAGTTAAGTCTACCCGCTTAAAGTCTATTTTGCCCTCGCTGTCCCTAAATCCCAGTGCTTTGAAAAACTCTGCGCCATCATCCTGAACTATAGGGTGAAGCCCTTTACAGAACATTATCAAGTGTTCGGCAGTTTCTTCTTCCTCTCCACACGCACTGCATATTAGTTTTGGTCGCGAGTGCCACATCACGGCGCTTGCTCAAAACCGAAGGCAGGGTGACTCCGCTGGCAACACGAGCGATTCGTCAGGCATCTTAATAAATGAGCCGTTGTCCAAGTTTGGTCGAGGCGTTCTTTAGCCACATCCACGGTGTAGGAACATCTGCTGTGTCAACGCCTCCTAGATTTCGTGTGCCTGCCGGATGAGCGCGAAACGCCGATCATCTATGGTGGGGCTGCCTACGTAAAGATAAGGGTATTTGTACATGGCCTTTGAGATTGGCAATTTTGACGTTTGCCACTTATTTAAAAAAATGCCTTGTATTAAAAAAGTTGCTTGGTAAATAACGGCTTCACTTACGTAGGGCTATTTATAATTATGTTTACGCCTTTTGAAAACCTTTTTACGTTATTTTTGTTGCATATAACTTCCAAAAACGTAAAACTTATTAAACCTATTACCAGCCGAACCTATTTAAGGACACCCCTACTCTAGTGTCGCCACTACTGCAGTTTCGACGACCGCCGCTTTTTAAGTGACCTCCGGTAATCCGGCAGGCACAAGAAATCTGGGAGGCGTTGGTATGGTTTGTGTACATTTGATGTAAACACGTTACGTTGCGTAACGATACACGCTCTCCAGGTAGTTTGATGAGAAATCTCAGCCAAAAAGCAGCACAGCGTACTTTTGATGCGGTAAGCGCGTTTTCGCCGTCCATGCGCGTCTTTGCAGTGGTTCACAAGCAGCAAAGCTATATCGAATTACATGCAATGTGCGAACACTTCCCTGACCCGAAACGTTCGACGACACGCGAGAAAACGCCTGGTTGCTCTCATAAAGTTGCTTGCTGTCGACTTTTTGCATGCATGTCCTGAGACCCGTCTAATGTTGTTTCAGCTCGTTTCCTGCTTGGTGGTGGCATCGTGGGTGTGCACCGTCTACGCGGGACTCGCTGCGTCTCTGAAGCATCTTGAGCGCACATAGAGCAATGCAGAAGGAAGCCGACTACGCTGTCATACAGGAGAAGCTACGGGAGCTGACGCACGTCATTCAGCAGTGCCAGGTGAAATGTGGCAGTTTGTTCGTGTGTGTGTGTGTGACTCGAAGCGATCGGCTGTATATTGGGGAAATAGTTGTGGAGAAAGTTTTCTAACGGTAGTTTCGAGCGTAAATGTGTAGAAATTATTTTCACAGGTAGGTTCCAAGTAAATGTTCTAGCTGCTGCTGGTTGGCAAAACATGTTACTTTTGTGAAATTTAGTCAGGCAACGTGCACATCGGGATGTACGGCAAAACACACACTTTAAAAGAACAGTTGTGATTTTTACATTACCCCACGTGCTCTTTTGGTGTTGCCTTGGCTATAGTATCACATGTTTTCAAAGTAGTAAAAACAACTATCAAAAGCTATTTTTCAATCTGGTGCCCACTTTTTCGACCTTTTCATTTCCAATCAGCATTGGCCTGTTGCACAGCAGCGAAGATGCCCGAAGCTGTGCGCTGTAACAGCTGTGTACTGCTGTAAAGTTGTGCATCATTATATTTGCAGAGTGCACGTACGATCATGCCGCATCATGGTCAGTGAGAGCAGTATACAGGCTGCAACACATTCAACAGACCGCAAACTTTCAAAAATACAAACCTGCCATGTATAGAATACTCAGCTTGTCATGCAAAGTTTGTGTGTCCATTTGTCATCTTCAAGAGCCAGTTTATCATAAGCAAAGCTATAGTTTTCTTTCTCATTCATGAGAATCATGACCCTTTTCAGTGACCTGCAAGTTTGCTTTCAGAACTTCATTTGGATCGTAGTTTTATGCCATGGAATAAATTATATGTCCTTACCTTTGTGCAACAACGAGACACCTACATGCCACTTTAACCGATTTTTTCTTCTACGTAAAATCTCTTTTTCACATCAGCTGTTGCAATCAGTGCAACACTAAGATGCTGCTATTTCACCTAAGTCAATCTAAGCTGAAGAAAAATTGTTTTACAGTTACAGTAGTTTCAGAAGATGGCAGGTACTACGACAATATCTTTGAAATTAGCTCCATTTTTTTTTGACAGAAGCATCTGAATTTTTGTCACATTCGTATAAAAAAAACCTGTCATTAAATATGCCAGATAGTGTTCTAACATAATGATGTTATAGTGAAGTAATTCCAACTCTCAGTCATCCTGTGTTTATGTAGATTTGTTGAAAGAGCACTGACATCAAATTTCAAGATCGAGATGTGCCCATCATTCGATCACTTGGTGTGCATAGGTCTTCTTGGCCAAATTTGAATTGCATCCATTGCATCGAAGTTATTTTATTTCGAAGTCAGCATAAAAAAGCTAAAGAGAAAAAACGAAAAATAGACTGCCCTGCGACATTGACACTAGTGCTACGTGTTTGGTGTGATACATTCCACAAATACCATCCTGAGTGACGATACCGTAGTAACGATGGCGTCGACGATCTCTGAGTGTGTTTGGAGCCGACTCCCAGCCATGCTCTCTCTAGTGGCTCTCATTGCTGTTTGAAGCGTGCGTGTGATTAATCGTGTCGCATCGACCGATTTGCATTGTGCTCCACCGTATGTGAGTACGATCATTCAGAGCCACAATACGTGCCAAAATGTCAGGGAGTCATGTAGTGAGAACCTGCCCGTCGAGGTGCCAAAAAAAGCAAAAAAGTGCATGGCGTGGCTTGGAAAAGCAAGAAAATGCTTTTCCAAGCCACGAACCCAATTGCAGCCGGTGGTTGACTTCGTACACGCCGTTGGACAGAGGGTCTGGACGCCTGGGAAGAACAGCTGCATTTGCTCCCTTCACTTTGCGACGAGCTGCTACAGGGTAAATCCTGTGTTGGCGAACCAGTTGGGTTTCCCTGAGAGTACGAGGCCTCTTCTCGAGGCCGGGGCTATTCCTCCCGTGTGCCCTGTTGCAGCGAAAAGCAGCGATTTACTCGGCAAACGTCCGCGACATGTGGTGCATAGTTAATGTTCCTGAGCTCCGATAGTACGGCCGGTACTGATAAATACATTGCATTAAATGCGGAGCTTGTCAAGCAAGGATCGTCGCGAATCGCAGCGATACCCAATTCCGGGTTGCTGTCATCACTTGCCGAGGTTAACCGCGACGAAGGCATGTCTACGCCTTCAGAGACATAGCTGGACTGACTGTACGTGCGCTCCTAGCAGACGGAATGCCAGTGGGACGTCAACATTTTTTGTGAAAGCGGCATCAGCTGTGCAGCGGCCTCGACGTGGCCGCGAGGTAGCGCTGCCAGCACTAAAATTTGGCGGGCTTTCCACCCATTTTGAACTGCGTTTGATAGCGTATATATCAATCAATATTAGATACTCATTCGTCACTCATATGCATTTTAAGTCACAAATCGCTACTAGAGGGTCGATAGCTACTCGACGCAAAAATCTTGACATGAGTAAATTTGATGGCAGTGCTCCTTCAAGGTATGTTGCCACCTATATGGAAATTTTTTTAGATTTTGATTTTAAAGTGATTGTTCTGTGTCTATTTTAAAAAATCTGTTTAAAAACATATTTAAAGTATGTTGGACAAGAAAAGTGCAACTAATCACAATTTAATTATGGAAATTACCCATAATATGCCCATCGCAGAAGTGTACGTACCAATTTCGAGATTAAAAAAAAAATTATTTGGCTGCAATTTAGCTGTGCAATAAATTGGAATTCTTGCGCTGTCGTCAATATTAGGCATCCTATGTCCGAAAAACCAAGAACTGTGTAGTTCCAGGTGCTTGCATTTCAGTCGAAACCTAATGACATTAAAAGTTGTCGGTGGTTTTCAATAATCATAGTTCATTACATATGTAATAAATGTAATGCATATGTAATGTCCTTATTTTACATAGATTAATGTTTCATAAAGAAGCATGTGAATTTTTATTGAAAAATATTAGATAATTTAAAATCTATGACTTTTTGCACAAGAAAAAAAACTGCTAAAATGAAGTTCTGAGAAAAACAAAAAGTTTTCAAAACAAATTATATCTTACAAATTCAAAATTATTACTCATAATGGCTAATGAGTTGAACCCTTTCCCTCAAGAAGTTTAATGAGCAAGGCACCATCCGATTCATGGCCCCTAGAGGGGGGATAGATGTTGAGGAATCAGCCAACATCACTGGAATTTTGTGGAATGCTAAAAGCAACTAGGCTTATAGCTAGGGCTTTTTTTAGCTATCATGTGTTGACTGTTACGTGGTCTAGCCGCTCCTAGTTTTTCTGAAGGTTGTTTTTTGTCAGCCAACTGGCATTCTTCAAGAGAGTTTGGTTCCTGCTGAGATAAGCTGCTGTGCTGCTGCAGCCAGAATCAACACCAGCCTGCCTCAAGTTATCAATTGTGCCACTATTTCTATTGCTAATTTGACATATACAATCTTATAGTCTCCTCCCTACCCCCATCTGAAAAAATTTTAGCGAGAAATGGAGGCCACATTGGCCACCTGCACTTTGCATCATTAATAAACCAAGTGGCAGACCCTAACACTGTGTAACTTATATACTCGTTAGGGGAGCACACTCTTGAATCAAGATTGACCGCATAAAGTATAAGATGAAGTAACAACATCGTGCGACCATCGGTCCGCGGTCTTGCCGATGTGCCCATCGGTCAGTGGACCACAAAGGATACCTATCAACAGGTTGACGAAACATCAAGCGAAAAAAAAAGTGTTGCTGCAGCCACCACCGATTCGTGGTAAATATGAATTTCCCTGTCAGCAAATGCGAATATGGCATGTTAAGAACATATTCCGCGTTTTCCGATCGTGAACAAGGTCGACGTTTTGTGAACGCCATCATTGCCAGCCACCATGTTTGTCACCATAGCAAGGACGCATCATTTTTTTGGCTTGATGTTGGGCCGTGTCCCACCGCAGTGGTCCAGTGGCTACTTGGCTGCTGACCCGCCGGTCACGGAATCGAATCCCGGCTGCATTTGAAACGAGGGAGGCAGAAATGTTGTAGGCCCGTGTGCTCAGATTTGGGTGCCTATTAAAGAACCCCAGGTGGTCTAAATTTCCGGAGCCTTTCACTATGGTGTCCCTTATAATTATATGGTGGTTTTGGGACGTTAAACTCCACATATCATGTTGGGTCGTGCCGGGGATAGATATCCATTGCCGGACCAACACGCAGTTGTTGCTTTATCTGGTCAAACAAGCATTGCAAGCAAGTCGAGAAGTTGGGCCCTACACCTAACACCATCATCATGGAAAAAAGTGGGGGACCTTTTGAAAGGGCAGAGCTCATTGCTAAGCCAAATTGTGGATAATGGTGCCAAGGAATAATTTCCTTGACCTCTTAAAAAGTGGGCAGATATTCAGAGACAACACCAATCGTGGTAGTGGAAGAAGGGCCGTGTGTGTAGTGAAGCAGGCTTTACAGGAACAGCTGCCCTACGAAGGCCTGTTTCTCCTCTGGTTCATCCCAAATGATGCGTTGTAGAAGGGTATACTTTCATGAGTTGGTGGGACACATATGTGTCCCACTTATCTCTATCAAACCATTGTCTTCTTTTGAATGATATTGATTTTGTAATTTTTTTTTGTAGTTTGTATATATATATAATACAGCTCGTGTTTATAACATCGAGTAAAAAATATAGGCAAACCTACAAAGGGTAACTTTTTTGCTTATTTGTATAATGCACAGGCTGAAATAATACAATCTCATCACAGTGGCTGCAGAACTACAACAGGAGTTTTATTAAAGGTTAGCCACAAACTGAGCTGTATTCGACAATAATGTGAAATGCGGAGCTCTATTTCATAGTCATTTTTTTAATTATCCAAACTGCTTAGTTGATACAGACACTGTTACATTGGAAAAAAATAATGAGTCAAGTGTTGTTTCATTCAGAATGAGCTCAGCCCACTCAACCAATGGGTGTCCTTTGGGAAAAGGCATCACGACCGAAACGTGGCAGTCTCGATCAGGTATCTTGCCTTTTTTTATGAGGCAATGCATTCAGTGTGTCCCCGCCATGTTGGTCTAGGGGCTAAGGTCTAGGCTGCTGACCCGCAGGTCACTGGATTGAATCCTGGCTGTGGCGGCTGTATTTTCGATGGAGGCAAAAATGCTGTAGACCCGTGTGCTGAGATTTGGGTGCACGTTAAAGAACCCCAGGTGGTCGAAATTTCCGGAGCTCTCCACTACGGCGTCTCTCATAATCATATGGTGGCTTTGGGACGTTAAACCCCGCATATTAATCAATGCATTCAATGTGCACAATGGGGTTGAGGGATCACAAAGTTATTGCGGCAAGAAAATAAGCAGGGGTAACGAGTCATGTCTATGTAGTCACTGCTTTGCAGTTCCAATAAAGAAGTAATAGAACACTCCTTGAAAAATATTGGCCTGGAAATAATGGAAACAGTTTTAGTTAAGGGCCTTCTCTCTAGGCATCAACCACTGGCATGTTTGGGCTGTTTTCTTGAAATCTGTTTCCAAACCAATATCGTTCTATGTTGCATATAATCTTAAATCACTACTTATTCTGTCTGTTAATATCACTGTTATTCTAGCACATACGTATCAGCATCAGTATCACTTATTCTGTAGCAGTCTTAAAATTTCAGTTGTAGCATATTTAATAATTGCCAATTTCTTGACCAATCCTGTTGAAGTAGAAGAACAGTAACAGCCTGCTGATAGAGTGCAACCTCTTAAGTGTATTTACAAGAGAAAGAATTCTCGAATGTGCACTTGCGAATTTAGGCTTTCTGTGTAGCAATGTTTTAGATCGGGCTAGTTGGTGAAGATCCATAATAGCTTACAGCACACTCTGGTACACAAAGAAAGAAGAGGAGACACATCTTCATGTGTGTTCTCTTCTATGTTTCTGTGTAGCCCTGTGTTTCTAATGGTAGAAGTGTAGCATTTGGTTCTGTATGTCAACTATGCTACTGTGCAATGCACATCTTAATAGGACTCAAGCACTAACTAAAACTTGTTGCTCTATTGTATTCCATTTCTTTCCGATTAGGCGTACATGAAAGCGGTTTAAAGGCAAAACACTTTATGGATTTGGGTGTTGTATTCTATTGTCCTCATCATTTGGTGTAACGCATGCAAAAGCACTTATAGCCAAAGAGCATTGAGCCAAGGAAAAGTCCAGTGCGGGCGTCTTGATAAGCACTTTATGGGATGCCGTATGTCACTGGAAAAGCCACGGATTAAAGTTGGAAAAGAGGATTGGGGGATACATTTGATGGAAGCTGCTGTTTCAGTTGTAGGAGGACCTGCCCCGGTGGTCTAGTGGTCATGAGATGAAATCCCAGCTGCGGTGGCCAAAATTTTGACAAAAATGAAAGTGGATGAGACGTTAGATTTATATGTCCATTAAAAAACACCAGGGGGTCAAAAATGCTAGAGCCCTCAACTATGCCTTTTCTCGTAATTATACCATCATCATCATCGACCTGACTACGTCCACTGCAGGACAAAGGCCTCTCCCATGTTTCGTCAGTCAAACTCAGTCCTGTGCTTGCTGCTGCTATTTTATACCCACATACTTCTTAATCTCATCTGCCCATCTAACTTTCTGTCTTCCCCTAACCCACTTGCCTTCCCTGGAAATCCATTTAGTTACCCTTAATGACCAGTGGTTATTCTGTCTACACGCTACATGCCCAGCCCATGTCCATTTCCTCTTCTTGAATTCAACTATGATATCCTTTACCCCCGTTTGTTCCCTAATCCTCTCTGCTTTCTTCTTGTCTTTTAACCTTACACCTACGATTTTCCTTTCCATTGCTCGCTGCGTGGTCCTCAATTTAAGCTGAACCCTCTTTTTAAGTCTCCAGGTCTCTGCTCCGTAGCTAAGTACCGGCAAGATGCAGCTGTTATATACTTTTCTCTTCAGGGATAGTGGCTATCTACCTGTCAAGATTTGAGAGTGCTTGCCAAATGTGCTCCACCCCATTCTTACTCTTCTAGTTACTTCAGTCTCGTGGTTCGGCTCCATGGTTATTACCTGTCCGAAGTAGACATTGTCTTTTACAACTTCTAGTGTACTTTTACCTATCTCAAAGTGCTGCTCTCTTCCGAGATTGTTGTACATTACTTTCGTTTCCTGCATATTAATATTAAGACCTACCTTTCTGCTCTCCTTGTCTAACTCCATGATCATGAGTTGCAATTCGTCCCCTGAGTTACTGAACAATGCGATGCCATCGGCAAAGCGTAGGTTACTAAGGTATTCTCCATTAACTCTTATTCCTAACTCTTCCCATTCTAGGCCCCTGAAAACCTCCCGTAAGCACTCGGTAAATAGCATTGAGGAGATTGTATCCCCCAGCCTTACACCCTTCTTGATTGGTATTCTGTTCCTTTCTTTATGAAGCACAATGGTAGCAGTTGATACCCTGTAGATTTCTTCTAGAATGTTTATATATTCTTCGTCGATGCCCTGATTCCGCAGTGTCTGCATGACTGCTGATATTTCTACCGAATCAAACGCCTTCTCGTAATCTACGAAGGCTCTGTATAGTGGTTTGCTATATTCTGAGCATTTCTCTATTACCTGATTGATGGTATGAATGTGGTAGATTGTTGAGTAGCCTATTCGAAGTACTTCTTGTTCCTTTGGTTGTTTAAATTCTAATGTTGTCTTAATTGTGTTAGCAATTACCTTTGTAAATAGCTCGTATATGACAGAGAACAAGCTGATCGGCCTGTAATTTTTCAAGCCCTTGTCATCTCCTTTCTTATGTATCATGATGTTAGCATTCTTCCAAGATTCTGCTGCTCTTCTCGTCAGGAGACACCTTGTAAAAAGGGGGGCTCGTTTTTCTAACATAATCTGTCCTTCATCTTTCAGCAGACCTGATGTTACCTGATCCTCACCAGCAGCTTTGCCTCTTTGCACGCTCTCCAAGGTATTTTTGATTTCTTCTATCATTACTGGTAGGGTGCCATCATGGTCACTGCTAGTAAGGTTGTGTTTGTCCTGGCTATTATACAGATCTCTGTAAAACTCCTCCGCTATTTTAACTATCCTATTCATATTGGTAGGTATTTTGCCTTCTTTGTCCCTTAGTCCAAACATCTGATTTTTGCCTATTGCAAGTTTGCTCTTCACTGCTTTGACACTTCCTCCATTCTTCAGAGTGTGTTCAATTCTCTCCATATTATACCTTTTTACATCTGATACTTTACACTTATTGATCAACTTCGAAAGCTCAGCCAACACTATTTTGTCTGTTGTACTCGAGGCTTGTCATTGCGTCAACGTTAAGGCTGGTTTCCTCGATAAGAGCCAAGTACCTGTTCTGAAGCGAGACCTTGAATTCCTGTACTTTCCCTCTCAGTGCTAGCTTATTGATTGGCTTCTTGCGTATTAGTTTCTGTCATTTCTTCTTCAAGTTTAGGCAAATTCGAGACCGTACCATTGTATAGTCACTGCATCGTACCTTGCCAAGCACTTCCACATCCTGCACGATGCCTGGGTGTGCACTCAGTATAAAGTCTATTTCGTTTTTACTTTTGCCATTAGGGCTCCTCTGTGTCCACTTACGGTTTCCTCGTTTTCTGTAGAAGGTATTCAAGATCCGTAAATTATTGCGTTCTGCGAATTCTACTAAAAGCTTCCCTCTGGCATTTATAGTACCGATGCCATAATCTCCTACTGCCTGGTCTCCAGCCTGCTTCTTCCCTACCTTTGCATTAAAGTCTCCCATCAGTATAGCATACGATGTTTTTACCTTGCTCGTTGCCGATTCCACGTCTTCATAGAAGCTTTCAACTGAAGCATCATCATGGCTGGATGTAGGCACGTAAGCCTGTGCCACCTTCATCTTGTATCTCTTATTGAGTTCAATTACGATACCTACCATCACTTTATTAATTCTATAGTATTCCTCTATGTTGCCAGCTACGTTTCTGTGGATAAGGAATCCCACTCCCAGTTCTCTTCTGTCAGCCAAGCCACGATAGCACAGGACGTGCCCATTCTGTAGCACTGTATAGGCCTCATCTATTCTCCTAACCTCTCCGAGCCCTATTACATCCTATTTAACACTCTCTACTCCTTGAATAGTACAGCTAGACTTGCTTCACTAGATAAGGTTCTAGCGTTAAACGTTGCCATGTTCAGGTTCCAATGGCAGCTTGTCTGGACCTTGACATTCTTAGCACCCTCTGCTGCGTTGCAGATCTGACTGCCGCTGTGGTCAGTTGCTTCGCAGCCACTGGGGATTGAGAGCCGTGAGTTAATTGATGTGTGCATGTGGGAGGTATTGGCCGGGTACCGCACCAAGGTGGCCAATTCATCTCTGGTGAGGGAGTGCGTTACTGGCAGTGGTCACTGGTGAAGCCGCACCCCAGGCTTCCTAATGCAATTTCATCATCATGCGGCTTTTTTTTTCATCCGGTTGGGAACTGTGCGACACCCGGATTCGAAACACCGACCTCTTGCATACGAGGTTGATATTCTAACCATTGCACCATCGCTGGTACCCCATAAATTATTGTTCATTGCAGGAGGAGCGAAACCGGAGCGAACACAACCTGACCAACATCACCAAGACCCACGAGCGCATCCAGCAGGAACAGAAGCTGTCGCCCTACTACAAGTCCAAACTTCGAGGTCAGTACAAAACGGCACTGCAGGATGCCGAGAGCGAGGAAGAGCTGCTTCGCAAGGCCCTCGACATCATCTTTGACATCCGTGCTGTCCGCAATGAACGACGCATTGCTGCTAAGAATTCAGGTGGGCACTTCTGCATTAATGTATGGGAAGATCCATTCTTTCCTCTAGACTTTGTTTTTTTTTTTTTCTTTTCTGAGGCAGTAAGGCATTACGAAAAATAGGAGCTTCGTTTGAAGCTTGTTTTCAGGTGCGGCACACTTTAGGGATCCATGTTGTTGTCCCTTGGCATAATGCAGGCACACCTGCATACATCGCATGTGGAATATTGAGCACACACTCGCTTCACCACGTCTTCCTCTTGTTCTTTGAGCACTTTGATGATGATATAATGTGTGCTATGACTAGGTACAATTGATACCACATATAGAAGTTAAAAAAAAGAAGCCAGCGGGAGAGAAAGAAGAAGCAAGAAAGTGGAAATACAGTAGTCGAATATCATTAATCCAAACTCAAAGGGACCTATAAATTTTGTTTGAATTATCAGGAATACATGTGTGAGGTCACAACACATATTATGTCACACTGTGGCATGCAGTGTGTGTCACAACACACACTGCATACCACAACTTGTTCAAGTTAACTGCAAAAAGATAGCAAAGCCAAGTAGATGTAGTGTCACGCTCCATCTTAGTCATCTTCGCAACAAAATGGGATACATATGTGTTAGGGGCAAGAGAGACACCTGGCATCGCAGCAGACCATGTTGTTTCTCACTGACTACACTAGTGTTATTTCCGTAAATAAATAATGTGTTCTTTCGTGGAGAAAGAAGTGTTTGTTTTCTAGTGTTGCGAATAAATACCATATTTTCTAACACATAATCGGCACCATAAACTGAAAAAAAAAATCACCTGAAAAGTGGGAGTGCGAGTTATTTGCGAATAATCAGGAAGCAGAGGTTGGCTTCACAGCAATGCGTGGTCAGCCGTGCTGCTCACATCTTCATCGGCATCGTCTAGTGCAAAGCCAATAAAAGCCAACACAAGGTATAGACAGATCCCCTCCGTAGCGTGTTTAGTATTCACTTTTTGCATGCTTTGCTTGATTTGGTGAACAGTGTCACAACAGCAATTTGACAGCGTCTGTCTCTGGGTCAGGTGTGGCCAGTTTGCACCGTTGGTCAGCCTTGTCTGGTGAGGCACCATAAGTGTGTTTTTGTGCCTATATTTCACTGCGAAAAAAAAAAAAAAAACCCGAGATTATAGCTGCTGCTGCGGAAGAAATAGGCAAAAGAGCTGCTGCGAGGAGGCACAACGTGGACGAGTCCTGCATTTGTGACTGGCGAAAAAAAAGGCGTCTCTCGAAAGTGCATGCAAGAAGAAGCGAGCGTTTCGTGGCCCAAGGACTGGTGCATACCCTCGCTTGAGACGCAGCTTGTTGACATTATTCAGGAGCGGAGCAGTCATGGCCACGCTGTGTCAGAGGAGATGCCGCAAACGGAAGCACTGAGGTTGGCCCAAGAGATTAAACATCTCACGCGAGTTTCGTGTGAGCCATGGATGGCTTCAGCGATTCATGGCCAGGCACGAATTTTCGATGTGGCGGCGAACGACTATGTGCCAGTGGCTTTCCAATGCCTGCGAGGAACGAGAATCGGCACCGTCAGTGTTACGGCGATCACTTTTAAATGAAGTTCTTGTGTAAACAAGATTGTGACGTTTTGTAAACGAAATTGTGACTTCCCAAAACAGTATTTTTAAGCTAAGCATGCGAGTTATACACGAGGTTTTTTTTTTTTTTTAATTTTTTCGGGGAGTTCAAAGTTAGGGGTGTCGGTTATATGTAAGAAAATACTGTAATTCATTAAACTATGATGCCAAATCTAAAATAAATAAAGAGAGTCAAGTTAATAAATAATAATAATAAATAATAAACTGGCTCCCTGTGAGTGAGAATAAGTATAAGCATCAAATGCCCAGCAGCAAGATAGATTGCTTGGAGACGATGCTAGCCACAATCTTAAAATAGCTATTGTGCGTGTTCACAAGGGCCCACTGCACCATGTCACAACACACTGTGCAGTAGTCCTTATAGACCACTACATTGTTTCTTGTCACTGTGTGGGTTAAATTTCCTGCGTTTTTTATCATATACAGCCATAACGAGGTGCTGGCCTGAAAGCTTACTGAGGCACAGTGAACATGTTTTTCTCTGAGCCTATCTTTACTTATTGTCTCGGCCTAAAACGTTTTACACAGCGTTGTGCTATGTCTCAGAAGCAGCAGACTACCCATGCTGCAATACTCCAAGGCAGTTTGCATTGAAAAGGTCGCACCGCCAAAAGATCACCGTTAAGTGTGTAGTGGCTTGGATATACAGTAAAACTTCATTAATTCAAACCCAGTTATTTCCAAATTCTGCTGAATTTGAAATATTTCTGTGGTCCTGTATTTTTCAATGTACATCTGAGAGGATAATTTGAAGTGGCAATCAGTACAAGTCCGGTTAATTCAAAAAGATTGGGTGCCATCTGCCAATTGCCGATCCCGATTTCACTTTAAATTCGTGGAAATGACGGTCTTTAAGTTGCAGTATCACTAAATTGCATTGCCATAAGGCAATGCAATGTAGTTATACTAATGAGTGGCAGCTTCACCCCCCTCCCCAGCCCTGCAACTTCTAGCGCAAAAAAAAAGGGGGGGAGGGGGGGAATAAAAAAAAGGTTTCTTGGTCAGTCGATACGTGGGCCTGCAGAAAACAAAATGTGCTACACACAATACAGTGGTGACGCGTAAGCGGCATTTTACACGTTTCTCGCAACGTCAGCGTGTCATGATTTACCCATTCTTTCTTGGATCGCAGAGAAATTTAATAAAGGGCAGTTTGGCGTGATTGGAGATGTGTGCGAACCTCTGATTGCCGGTGGCTCTAGCGATTTGCGCACTTGCACTGCTGGCAAAGTTCTTGCCTGCAAAGCCTACTTCGAAAACCAAGTTCAAAAGCTTGAGTGATCATGTTTTCCAGCCAATACATATTGTAAATTTCCTTTCACAAACCATTAATTAATTCTTTATTCTACCTGAGAGAATGGGCAAATGGTCACATCAGGATGTGCTGATCGCGTGTCACTACTGTGTTGCTGTGAAGCATGTCTTGTTTTCCGCAGGCACACATTTTTCTTGTTCACAACAGCATTATCCCTTTTTTTTTCGGGAGCAATAGTGAGGCCCTCCATGCTTGCGGCAAAAATTAAGATTAGGTATTTCGGGAAAACATAAAAACATAACCGTTGGAGCCGCAAACTAGCCTGCACAGCAAACGATCAACCCTGATTATTTTGAATAATTGCAAGTTCCTAGCCTCCTATTTTTTGTATGTTCTGTTAATTTGAAAGCTTGCTTAATTCGAAGATTTCTCGTGGCTCCAGTGACTTCGAATTAGCAAGGTTTCACTGTACAGTCGAATCGTACTATATTAAAGTCTGATACAACGAAAATTCCGCCACAGCGAATAATTTTCGGTTTCTCCTAAGCCGCCCATAGAGAGCAATTTAAAATATGTTTCTTCACATGAATACTTTTTTTGGATATTTCCACTTTAACGAAGCTTTCACTGGTACTTTTACCACCTAAAAAAAGAGGAACTGGCCTAGGATTGCCGTGAAATCTTACTACCAACTAGACCATTTCTCGTTGGTTCATGATATCCCGAGTGCACGGCCGCAGCACAGCAACTGTGTCTCAATTGGAGACACGCTTTCTGCCACCACACGCACATCCCGTTAAGTTTATCACCATTGAGATGCTCGGTGACAGCTTGCCCCTCAACCATGACGCTACCGGTGGACTTGCTGTGTGTGTGGGCTGCGGCAGAATTGCGATTTACAAAAACTCCAATAACCCCCCGCCATATGTTTCGGGGAAATTGTGCACGAGTGTACTACGAACATGGACCCATGAAAATTTTTCAAAACGGTGCCGTAATAGCGGACTTAAATGCATTTGATAATTGAAACTGCGTGATTCCTCCTTTCGCTTTCTCCTGTGCTACCCTCCATGGCATCCTCTCCCAAAGCTGCTTTGCCCTCTTGCCGAGCAACCCTCTCATGCTTTTCCTAATCTTGCGTGCAATATGTCGTCTCTGACTCGCTGCTTGAAACCCCATCTACTTTCAGTTGCCGCGACTCCGTACCTCTGTCAACTGCGTGTTTGTTGGTGAAAGGCGGCTGCTGTGCTGGCCTGTGCTTATACGAGGGTCGCCAACACAATGGACTCTAACGCATGCGTGTGGGCAATACGACGAACAAGAACAAGTAGCGCGGACAGAAGTTGTAGGCTCTTGCTCAACCAACCACAGCATATTTATGGCTAGTGTGGATATTTGAACGGCCCATCAGAGATATCCGTACGGTGTGTCACACGCAGGCTCGAAAGGCCCAAAAAGCATGAGGGATTGTTTCTCTGAATTTTCGGTGTACTGGCGACTCATAGTGCTGCGGCATGTAGAATCGTTCATCGTGACAGCATTCTGCACATGAAGCACGTGTTTACTTGAGAAGTTCGAAAAAATATCGGTGGTGGTTTAGGGGCCCTTTAACAGGCGCAACAAAGGCAATTGGTACTCTATACCAGCCTGAAACATTTTTCAGGTCATGTGAGACCTTATGAATGTAAGGAATCACAGCAGGTCTTAAGGGGGTGTAGTGTCTTCACAATCCCCTGTGATGTTTCTAGTGCATTTTTCCTGGTTGTTGTTGTTGTGCACGTACTGTAAATTCTCAAGTTCCCTTTGGACAATTCATACCTATTGTCTGTACTGTGTTAAACTCATTTGTGGTATTTCCTGTTGGCGATCTGGCTTACAATTATAAATATAAATCAACTTGCACATGGCACTCACCTATCAATGTACCACGACAAGGTCATCATTTTGTGAACCAGGGCTACTTCAAAACTGTGTGAAGTACTACCAATTGTTTCAGTCATTAAGCATGTCAGCTCCGATTCACACTGCAGCCATGTGTCAAGTGTGTCCTGGCTGGTTGCAGATGTCTACTGATCGTGGCACTGCTTTATGTGGATAAGCAAGTTAACGAGTAGTATTTTTGTCTCTTGTGTTGTGTAGACTGACAAGTGATGTTGCATTGATGAAATGAGCATTGCAATTACATTAGCAGCTGTTCTTATGCAAATGATGCATCAGCCATAGTGTCTTTGTTAAATGTACTTCTAATTTTTGTGCTATGAAAGCAAATACAATAGTTACTGTGGCATGCAGTGTGCATTTTTTTTTTGTCATTGCTCTCACACAAAGGTTGGCAAACTCACTCATGAATCGACTCGCACAAATTCACAGTTAGATCTTGTTGTGAGCCTGGGTCTGAGCGAGTAATATTTTGTTGAGTCTGGTTGTGTGAGTGAGTGTATTTCTTTAGTGAGCTCCACGTGAGGTGGTCTGTCAGTTTGCTGGCATGATTGAAGAACTCTGGGTTTCACTGTGGCATAACTGTCTCCTCACGTGTTCCAGGCAGCGTAGGCAGACGGAGCACGTCTTTTTCAGAGCGTCCCAAGGAGGCTCTGCGCCGAGGAGCCCTCATGAAGATGCTGCAGCAGAATGCACTCACCCTGCCGTTGTTCATTGGCCAAGAGGACGAGAAGCCACCACCGTTGTGCGGAGCCATTCCAGCAGAGCCGAATTACGTTGCCAAGGTAACACTCAATTGTTGCTCTGGTCTGTGATCATTTTTTCAATCATTAGGTCTGCCTTGAAGGATAATCTTGCTTATGATTTGTATTGCTGTGTCGATAAACAAAAGAGCACAGTGCAAAAATGAAAAACCATAATCATAAGAAAAATTCCGACAAGCAGCTTAATGGGGTCTTCTGTATACATAGCCGACTCTGAGAAAGTGGCTGCAGTATTGGTAGTTCTGGTGACTTCACTCACCAGTACGGCGAGTTGTGATCACGTCCGATGCCAAAGCATACAAAATAGCCGTTGGTGCATCAGCTGCAGACTAATGAAATATTCGTAATATTTTGCAGGAACATGTAAGCTCATAAGATGTTGTCACGTCACGTAGAATCAAATCTAGCTTTTAAAAGCATCTTGTAATTTTCAGGGCACACTCACATTTATCTGTATGGTTTCTTGGCTCTTGAGGACACTTGACAAAAAAAATAAATTTGTAAATTTTATCCATTGTCTAGGCATATTTAGCAGGTATGAAACACAACAGAATAAAAATATTGGCAAGGGTTTTTAAAAAAAGTAACTGTTGTTCGAGTGCTGCTTGTACATTCTAGTCAATACTCCGCTTCACAAGTACACAAGCAACTTGCAGCTCTACTGAACCTATGAGGCATACACAAAGCATATCATGACTCTGCAGAGAACAGCTACAAATGCTTGTTGTGCCTGTTTGTTTGATAGCTTGTATGTAGTGTGGGAACATATGTCAGGTCAGCTTTGTGTGCATTATTGTAAGCAATATGAGCAGGAACATACAAACGTGTGGCAAATATCCTCTAATTCAACGTGCAGCAATTCGCTGCCAAAACAATGTGAGAAGGTCACCACTCTTTTAACAACCACTCTCACCTCACTAATGTCAATACAAAATGGAAGGAGATTCCGTATCACCAACTGCTCGCGAGGGTCGAAAATGACGAGAAGTGTGGCAACCTGCTGCCTGTAGCTTGATGCAAAATACCATGGTTGATCTGTTCATCTGCTTCGTTGTGTATATGTGGTTAAGTTAGGTTGGGTTAGGTTTGTTTAGGTCAAGGTTGGTTTAGTTGGGTTAGGTTTTAAGTTGCGTTACGTTAGGAAGCCGAAGGACGATGGGAATAAAAAATAGTACTGCTCTTTGCTGTGTGTGAGATTCCAACCATCATAAAAGCCGATATGTGGTTCGAGTGACAATTGTTCATAGAAGAGCATTGCTCTTTCCACTGTATTTTTAACAGCCTCCCTCATATGTCACAATTTATCTTGGGAGCACTTGCAGCGGATGGAATAGGGAGAGAGACGCGAGTCGGCGGTAACATGGCAAACTCATTTTAATATTACACGAGATGGCAAACATTAACAAACCCTTAGAAATTACGTGAACAAGAAACATAGACATAACAACTGGCTATCCCGTGTAACCGTAATTAATGCCGATCCAATTTAACTTCGATCATTACCGTATTTACTTGATTCTACCGCGTCCTTGATTGTAATGCGCACTCTGTTTTCACGACGAAAAAAAAAAAGTAAGACATTAATTGCAATGCGCACTCATTTTTCTCGTTGGCCCACACGATCACACTACTCGGGAAAACGACTCCTTTCGGGAGCGTCTTCCGTTTAAATATGAGGTACAGGAGACGCTTGTGCCTATCTGACATGCAACGGAGCATTGCCGTCACTCTTGTTTTACCATGGCCTGATGTCAGCATGCAAACTTGCTTCGCCCCCTTCTTCTCGACGGTTGTGGTGCCTGGCATGTCGAAGTACAGAGGCGTCTGATCGGCATTCCCGATTTGCCCAAGCAGGTAGCCGTTGTTGTGCCGCAAGTTTAGGACGAACCTCTGAAAACTGTGAAGCTTTTTTTCGTACTCTTCCGGCAAGTTTTCGCGCATGCCCGTTCGCTTTCAGAGGGAAAGGTCTTTCCTCTTCATAAAGTTAGTTAGCCAGCACCTGCTCGCTTTGAATTGGCTCCGCGTTAGCCCTTTTTCTAAAGCTAACTGCATAGCCCGCACTTCTGTCGTCACGCAGTTCTGTTGTCACGGGCCGCTGTGCCGCTCACTGCTCAAGCACATACTCGGCGAGCAGCTCTTCAATTTGTGGAAACTGACCCTGCTGTGGTCCACTGAAGCCTTTGCGTGAATGTTTGCTGTCGACAATATTCTGCTTTTGTTTCCGCCAGTCTCACACGCACGTTTCAGGAACTCCGAACGACCGCGATGCGGCCCGATTTCCGTCTGTTCCGGCACACGCGATGACTTTTCTTTTAAAAGCGGCATCGTGGTGCACTCGTTGAGTTTTTGCAGTCGGCCCTTCCATGCCGTCGATGCTAACGAACTACAAGATGACGAACTCCTCAGCACACGTACGAAGTGCCGCACATGGGAAACACATAGGCAGAAATGGCCGACGCGCCTTGCCGAAGCACGTAAGGGGCGGCCATTTTGGAAATGTCGATAGCAATAGAATGACTGTATTCATTTTTTTTCGCACTCGATTTTAACGCGCATGCTATTTATGAACTCGCTTAACTGGAAAAAAGGTGCACATTAGATTCGAGTAATTACGGTAGTCCTAATTTTTCTCTAGCCAAGATGGCATCTCGGTGGTTACTGTCATGTGCTCCTGCAGTACTGTCGAGCCAACATATAACGTCCCCACTTAAAAGAACTGTCGCTTAGAATGAACAATATTCGCATGACCGTGAAAATATACATTGGTTCAATGGCACAAAACCGTACTTACAACGAACGTTTTCGAGCGCCGCTGATTCGTTACAGCGAACGGAGTTGGCGCTCTGCCGACTTTCCGGGAAACCACTTTCAACCACCGATCAGGCATCGGGGAGGTGCCCATACATTCTTATTGTTAAACGACGACCCTGCCTCCACGCCCCTCTAGTTGCCGCTCTTCCTGACAGCTTTTTGTCGCCCATCCCTCCATCCTTTGTCCTCCCGCTACTCTGAGCAGCCCGCATTGCCAGACGAGGCCCGTGTTTTCACACTGTCACCGATTTTTCAAAGACCGGTCGACCATCTCCGCTGTTTTTGATCGCTGGTACTGTCGTTGGCGTTGCCGGCCTGGAGTGACTAGACCATTTGCCAACATCGTCGGCCACTGACTGTATCCGATCATCTGCGTCTAGTGCACGCACGTACGGGCGTACCCTTTTGAACTGCGAACCCCGCACTGTGGTTTATTTAGGTAGAAGCCCAGTTCACAGTGCGACACATCACATAAGATTTGACCAAATGCCATTAGGTCGTGAGCAACCTCTCGCCATTCATAGCCAGTTAAATACCGGATTTCTTACTCGACCAACCTGTTAAAAAGGCATACATAACGCTAAAAAAAACTCTTATCCGCCGTTTCAAATAAAGTTTTTTCATTCCATTCAAATAAATTTTTTTCATTCATTCCATTCCATCTGCCGCTTCACGTTCCACAAATCGCAGCGACAACAGCAATTGCTTCAGGACACGAACCTCAGCGACCGTACTCCTAGTCAACTGTTGTAGCACATGCAACTAATGCGCCGCGAAACAACAAACAGCTTAGACGGAGCATTGTTTCAAGAAGTCTTTTTGCAAAAGCTGCTGTCAAGTGTTGGCTTGGTTGTCGAGGCGTCAGAGCAGAGAGACCTAGGTAGGTACCTGCCGTCGCCGAGCTCGCCGATTGGCTCATGGTGGTTACCACGCCCACATCACTGGCAGCCGTGCAAGAACTTCAAAAAACGTGTGCAGATATTTCTTGGCTCACAGAGACAGCTTTGCATACAAGCAGGACAGCACAAAATGCAAGCAAGCCAAACACATTGCTATCACAACCTCAGCGGCAAAATATGTGCTGGTATCATCGGCAGTTTGGAAATGCTGCGCGTAACTGTGTCCCACCCTGCGTGCGCTCTGGAAACGACCGTGGCAAGCACCGAAGGCGACTAGTGCTTCTACGCTGCCTTTAAGTCGTCCCTCAGTATTTTTCGTTACCGACCGCAACAACGGGCTTCGTTTCTTAGTTGACACAGTGCCGAGGTGAGTGTAGTACCCGCGTCACAAATCAAAAGGAAGAACCCTGTTACATTGCCACTCCAAGCTGTCAATAACAAAGTGATACGAACATACGAGCATCGTTTCGGTTTCAACAGAATGTTCAAATTGGTATTTATAGTCGCTGATGTCAAGTTCGCCATATTGGGCACTGACTCACTTCAACACTTTGGTCTGATGGTTGATGTTCTAAATAAACGGCTTCAGGATCCTGTATGTCATGCAGCAGTTCAAGGCAAGCCGTGTTTGCATCCTCCGCTCAGCTTGACCTTACTCCAACCATCAGGAGAATCGCACTTCACCGCCATAGTGCAAGGGTACCCAGAGCTGACGCAACAGCGACAGGCATTGGCCAAAGTAAAGCATGATGTTCAACATCACACCGGTCTACGTGCGGCCACGGTGTCTTTTGCCCGAGAAGCTACGGCTAGCTCGGCAGGTGTTTTCGCATATGATGTAACTCGGCATAGTACGCCCTTCATCCAGCCCATATGCGTCTCCTGTTCACATAGTCCACAAACAAACAGGTGGTGGTTGGTGGTCTTGCGGGGATTATAGGGCACTAAACTGTGTGGTTGGGCCGGACCATTTCCCAGTGCCGCACGTCCACGACCTGACTTCCTGTCGCAAGGTGCGAACATCTTCTTCAAAATAGATCTAGTGATAGCATATCATCAGATACCTGTAAGAGGATGTTCACAAGACCGCAATAACAACACCATTCGGAATGTTTGAATTTCTACGGTTGCCTTTTGGCTTATGAAATGCTAGACAAACCTTTCAACGGTTCATGGATGGCGTTGTCCGGGCCTTCGACTTTTGCAAGATTTACCTGGATGACCTGCTGATTGCTAGCCGCTCATCTGAAGAGAACGAAAGTCATCTACGCAGCGTGCTACCGCGACTGGCAGAATGTGGCATTGTATCAA